TGGGCTTATGGATGACAGAACAGTAAATCCACAAAAGCCTGGGAGACTGGACAGCGTTTTTCAGACAGGCATTGAAGGTTTTGAAGCTCACACACATTTAGTTATTGGACCATAATCTTCACAGACTGCTGGGCTGGAATGTAGGGATGCCCGCTTCCCAAACAAGACCCAGTACCCTAGAATCAAATGTCCTGGGAAGCTGGAGAGGTCTGTGCTGCTCTGATCAGCTCTGAGATAGCAGTTGAATAAGAAATGGTTAAAACCAGGAAATTCCATGTTTCTATAGAATGTTGGAGGGACTTTCCCATGGCCACACCTGGTGGTTTCCTCTGCCAGCCACACCCCTACCACAGTGACACCAGCTCAGGAGCAAGAGCAAACTGCCTCCTGCTCAGATCAATCTACTTGATAACATGATTTACTTGATAACAAGGCAGCTGTGGGTTTTCATAGCAGGCCAGGAGGAATGTTCCTGAGAGCCAAGTGCTCCACCCTGTATTCCTGCTGGACATACGGGAAAATTGTACTTCCTTGGCTCTGTGACTGGGGAAGAAGAGAAGCAGGTGACATCCCAATCAAAGCATTTAGTTGCTGCTGAAAGACCCCCTAGAGCTCATATCCTCCGGCAAGGAGATTCTATTAAACTTGGTAGTCTGGTCCCTGGTTACTTTCTCAAGCACAGCGCCCCCTGCTGGCCAACAGGGGACCTTTAGCTTTAGTGAGAAATCAAACTTGTTTTAGGCCACTGAAGATTGCGTTATAAGCTAAATGCTACACATTTTCCCCTGATGAATCAGCGCTCTTACTTTCCTCTCTCTAGCAAGCTCAGTCTCTTTCAGTGTCTCTAGCAGCTTCAATTGCAACCGTAAAGCACCATTGTAAAGCAGACACTATGTGCTCAGGATGCAAAGGGGAGAATTAGGTGTCCTCCGAGGGGTATGGGAGTGCTTTATATATGCTAACATATATACTTCAGCAGATGGTGATTTGGTGGCCCTTAGAAGAGGGACAGCAGGGAGTCAAGAAGGGCTGGCCAGTCAAAGAAGGTTTGCTTGACCCGACTTTGGAAAGAGGGGGTTAAAGAAGGGGGAGTTGGAGGTAAGGAGTTTGAGGCAGAGAGGACTGTGCAGAGGCGCAGAATGATGGGCAGAGTGTGCCTGGTTACTTGTTCAGGCACTGTGAAAAGAAGGGGGGAGGTGGATCCGGGCTAGAGGCAGATCAAGCTTCATGGGGCATCCCTTTGGGGACACATGCTCTGTGTGGACAAGATGAAGAAATGAGCCCTGGCTGGGCAGCGTGGCTGCTATTTTCTCTGGGGAGGTGCTGGAACATGCAGGCCTCCTGGAGAGAAGACTGAGAAGTCTAAGAGGCCTCACTGCATTTTCCCAAGTAGCTCTGAGGAATCATAGAAATAGAAGTGGCAATTCAAAGGTAGCCCAAGGACCATAGACAGGAAGGGCTAGCAGGGTGGGAGTGGGTTTCTTGATGGCAGCTCTGGGGGTGGAAGGAATCTCATATGTACCTTCTGCAAAGCAGTGGTGTGGAGGGAAGGGCGGGAGCTAGCCACATCAGCCCAGAGGCTGACATCTGGCTCTGCCTTCCCTTGCAAGAGACAATGACTTTGAGCAAGTCACTCAACCTTTTTCAAAGAGTTGGTGTGAAGCATAACGAGATGAAGTGCCTGGGACCTGGTAGGCTCTGAATAGAAATTAACTTGTTTTGGGCTTGGTGGTGTGTGCCTGTAGGCCCAGCTACTTGGGAGGCCAAGCAGGGAGGATCACTGGAGCCCAGGAGTTCAGGGCTAGCCTGGGCAATACAGACAGACCCCATCCTTTAAAAAAAAATAGGGTCTGGGGTCTTAGTGGTAGTGCCTGTGCTTAGTGTGCATGAGGCTAGGCCCTAAACACCAAAACCACCGAAATAAAGAAATAAAGAGATTTTTTTTTTCCCTGTCCGTTCGTGGCCCACACCAGTTTTTCCCAGCAGACTTACCTGCATAGTGCCTTAAAGGGGAGGGGAAGAACCAGGGCAGTATATGGAAGGGGAGCCCCTCAGGGGCAGGTGTAACAAAGCCTCAGAGCCCTGCTCCCTGCCATCTCCAGGAGTCAGCTCTGGCCAGAAGCTTTGTTGCAGAAGGAGGGACAGACATTGAAGACAGACCTGGTGCCCCTAGGCTGTGGGGAAGGGGCTGTGGGAGAATTCTGGCCCCTGAGCCATCCTGCATCATCCTTCTTCCTCATTTTCTTGACTCTTCAAGCCTCCTCTGCACCATTCCCTGCCACATTCTCAGTCAAAGACCTTGCTTTCAACTTCCCTGAAATAAAAGCAGCAATAAAAACTTCCTCGCCCCACATCCACACTGCCTGTGTCTGCACCCACACCTGCCTTCCCTCCCACGAGACAGGCCCACCACCCCTCCACCTAGTCCCTATAACCCACCCCTCTCTCCATCAAACTCCTTCTTTCTGTCCTGCTGTGTCCTGCTCATAAAGCAGAACTGCCTCAGCTCTGTCCATCTGGGGGACAAAAACCTGGTCCTCTCACCAATCTTGATGCTTCCCATTTGCTGAGCTGCTGAGATTTCCCAACTCCCTTCCCCTCTCATTGTTGCTCAATCCATGCCACCTAGATTCATTTCTCCTCTATTAAAATACTCTTGTCCAGGTCACTACCTTCTATGCCAGTCTCACTTTACCCCACTGGCACTCAAGTTGGTCCCTCTCTCCTGGTCTATACCGCTTTCTCTTGTTTCTGCGATAAGTGTTCTCCCAACCATCTACTTCCCCATGCCTTGCTTCTTCTGTCTCTTTTGGTCCTTCCCCCCTGCTGGATTTCTAATTGTTGGGACCTTCTCATTTACAGATTCTTCCAGGGACTCTCAAGAGTTTGAATACATCTATAAGGTAGTAGCTTCTAATTTTGTTTTCAGGTAGGATCTCTCCCCCAAACTCCAGATCCACATAGCCAAGAGTCTGAGAGTTCCACATCAATGTGTACAAGTCACCTCAGTCTTGCCAGCCCAGGCAGAATTCTTGGTTTCCTAACAACACTCCCTTCCTGCCACAATGGTCTTCTTGACCCACCCCGGCACTCGTGTTATCTTGTCATGTTGCTTCTTTTGCTTATCATGTATTAACACATTTTTCCTCTCTAGCTCCGGTCCTGTTTTTCCTAGGCAATACTGTATGGCGGTGCTTGTAGAAGGGAGAGGCTTAAAGTTTGTCAGTTGGCTAGTTATTGAGTCTTTGTCATATGTAGTCTGACAGGGTTAATTTCTGGGTAAAAGGAAACTTCCTATAACTAAATAAACATTTAGATTAGCTATTCTCTCTCTCTCTCTTTTTTTTGGTACTGGGGGTTGAACCCAGGGACACTTAATCAATGAGCCACATTCCCAGCCCTTTTTAATATTTTATTAGAGACAGTGTCTTACTGAGTTGTTTAGGGCCTCACTAAAATTTCTGAGGATGACTTTGAACTCCCAATCCTGCCTTAGCCTCCTGAGTCTCTGGGATTACAGGCATGTGCCACGGTGCATGGTTTAGATTAGATAATCTTTTGATACTGTTTCCTAAACTAATACCCACCTGGTCTCCTTTTCTGGTTTAAATCTAGGTGAAATGGGATTGTTTTTTAGATTGTTCAGTGCCCCTCCCCCACTTTCATCAAGCTTCTGTCAGAATATATAGAAGAGGATCCAAAGCACAGCCTTTACCTTAGGACTCTCTAAAGTTTCTTTGGTCCTCCGCTCACAGCCTAAGAACTGCTCCATCTCCTAGCTACACAGGTGCTCCAGTCCCCCACCCCCACTCTACCTCCATCCACCTATGCTGGGAGGGGGGACTCATTCATATCACAGGGTGGTGGAGCAGCCTCAGCTTTGACCTTCCCAAGGCCAAGCGCCCAGCAAGAGAATCTCAAGATGTAGCTATTCCATTTAAGTGGGGAAGTAGGAGAGGCATCAGGTTGGAAGGGCATGACAGAGCTGAATACAAGATGTACAACTAGCAGATGGCAGTAATCAAATACCTAGAAGACCATGAAGGTGCTGGGCAGGGTGGCTCACACCTGCAATCCCAGCAGCTGGGGAGGCTGAGGCTGGAGGATGGCAAGTTCAAAGCCAGCTTCAGTAGCTTAGTGAGGCCCTAAGCAACTCAGTGAGACCCTGCCTCTAAATAAGAAATAAAAAGGGTGGGGATGTGGCTCAGAGGTAAAGCACCCTTGAGTTCAATCCCACTATCACCCAAACAAACAAAAATACCAAAGAATACCCTACCTGCAGACCCAGTTCCTCCTCTTGTAGGAAGTGAAGCCTCCAGGGAGCCAGTCTACAATCAGTTGCTTTGGGCATTTGGCAGCACACCCAGGCAGGAGTGCATGGTAGACTCAAACTGTTCATCTCATGGCCAGGAAGCATTAAATTGTTACCTTTGAATAACTTTTCCCTTTGACTTTGTTAAATCCAAATCTATAGGAGAGAAAGCAGGCCTGGTATCCTCTACCCCTCCAGCAGTACAGATATGTTGGTTAGCCCTTCCCCCAGATGCAGGGATGGGCCAATGGCAAAAGGACTCAGGGCTCTGATTGTGGCAGAAAAAGAACCTCTGGCTTCCCTTAGCTGGCAAAATTTCCAATCAACGTCTTAGGCCTCGTTCCTCCAAGTGGGGGATTCTGACTAAAGATAGAAATGAGAACAGTCCTCACTGATAACAGGGAAGGTGGAGGAAGGAAACGGTTCTCATGGCAACAGACTGCCCAATGGTTTACAAATCTCTTAAGTCCCACACTTGTGCTAAATGGAAATGCTGCGGGGAGAAAATCCACATTTCTAAATGTAACGATGCTGTGCCTTGGTGGGGGAGAGAGAAGGTGGCTGGATCTAAGGTCACCTCATCCCTCCTGTTGCCTGGCAGGCTGTTTGCATGAACAAATCACAATTCTTTCTGGGTCGCTGTATTCCTGACTCAGAAATTGCAGGGAGTGGGGAAGGGGATATGAACTGCAGCATCGAAACCTAAAAATGTATTTTATTTTGAAGTTGTGCTTTGGATTTTCCCCAATCCAACATCTGTTGAGTGACAGTCTTAGGTTCACACAAAGCATCTCCAAGCATACATACAATATTCCAGTTATCAACACTATTTTAAAGAATATACCATTTTACACAAACGTGACATACAAGTCAGACGCCACAACATTGCGATTCCCTGGAAGATCTAACTTCTCTTCTGAACGTGAAGTCCATGGACACCAGCCCTTCCAGTGGTCTGTTCCTCCTGGCGCTGGTGTCACTGCTCCTCACCTCCTTGGGGAGAAACCAGGGCGCCCTGAGGAGGTTGGCTGAGACCAGTGTTTCCAGTTTACAGGCTGCTGGCTGCAAACTCCTCTATTTTCCAAATTGGGATGCTGGTGGCCGCCCCCACCCCTTTCCTCAAAGACTGACCCTTCAAAGTCCACACCAGGAAAAGGATCCATGCCACAAGGGGCAGAGCGGGGCTCTTTGAAGCATCATGCTGGTTTTGTCAAGCGGATCTGAGGACGACTGGTCTCCCCAGGCCTTGGGTGACCAGCTCCTTTTGGCTTTTCGGTGTAAAATCACAGTGTGCAACCTCAATTCCAGTTGACTGCAGTAAGCTCTGCCGATAAGGACTCTCCTCCTAATGGTTCCTAGTCCTCTCGACAGGACCATCTCGCAGGTGTCAGGAGCACCAGAGATGGGGAAGACAGCTCGGCTCCCAGAGTTGGGTTTAGTAGGTGACCATTCACACTGTTCAGTTCATGATGCAAATCAGCAGATGGACACTGACCAAGGGGATGGCAAACACAATTAATGTACAGGGTTGAAAGAGAAATAAGGCAAGAGCAACAGAACAGGCCCAAAATGCTGTCATTAAGAAAGCTTTGCTTTTACTTTCTTAGAAGGGAGGGTTTTGGAGAGAGGGGGGAAAGAGCGAGTATGAGAACCAATTTTGTTCAGTTGGATTAAAAGGAATGTCAAGTGAAGGGTGGATCTTTATTTTCAGTAAGGAAATAGGTATGAAAGCCCCCTTGATTTAGAACCTGTGAAGTTGAGGTCAAGACAAGAACAGGCTATTAAAGAGCAACAAAGACTGAAATCTAAAGGACTGTGGGTTGCTTCTTACAGGCTGACTCGCTTTCCTGAAGGGGTTCTAGAGTTCTCTGGGGTCCAGGTTATCCTTCTCATTAGTGCCCCCCACCCTGCCCCCAGGCTCCCCTTTCCCTTCAATAGGATGAGAAACACCTACCACTTTCCATAGATCCAACTACCAACTGCACATGTTGGTCCAAAAAGGATCTCTTCTAGGTCAAAGACAAGAACACTCTGATTTTACTACTGAATGGTAACCCACCATCTCTCCTGGACTACAGAAAATCATAAGGCTAACATAAAAATAGGGTTTTCAAGCTAGAAAACAAAGAGGAGGAATGAGTTTCAGCTTTAAATAGCTGCGACTTACAAGCCTGCGATATGGATGTTCCCAGTCCCGGTATTCCTGGGGCAAGTGTGACGCTAGAGGAACCAAGACCACATGCACCAGGTTTAGAGCAAACAAGGGCAACGGTTTTACATTTTGGAGGGGAACCAGGAAAAGGGCCAAAAGATGCAGCATCTGATTTTTAATTTTCTTTAGATTCTGGCCTTGGGAAGACTCTAGAGCCTGTGAAGTCAAAAGTTCCCTTACTTATCCTGTTTAAATAAATGAAAACTGGTCTTAAGGGGCAGGGTCTCTCTTAATCTAACTAGGGCTCTACATGCCCCTGTTGGTCCCTGGAGAGAGACCTTATAAAATAACCAAACCAAGGGGTAAATGTAAAATAAGTTTACATTTGGGAAAAATTTCTGGATTAGCAAAGTGGAATCTAATTTTTAAATAGAATAATGAATTTTATGTTTTAAGTGCCCCAAAAAAGTGGAAGAAGGACCCATTTCTTACCTTTTTCAAACCTGCCATAAACACAATAAAACTTTAAGACTCTTTACTCTAAAAGGAACCAGCTATAAAACTGTTTTATATAGGAAAATGTCTTAAATGGAAAATGGTCCATCAGAGACAATGACAGGAACCCCGAGAAAAGTCTATACATTCAGAAAAAACTTTTAAAAGCTCCTTAATAAGATTGGGATGTACTTCTACAGTATGGAGGAGAGCAAAAGCAAACACCAGTGACCAACTCACAGCAATAGAAAGAAGACAGAGAGAAAGTCCCCACCCCAACACAGATTACAGAAATGTCCCATCCTGCTAAATTTGGAGAGATTTCAAATGCTAAGTTCTCTGGCCCAGACAGAACAAAGTTTGTAACGGAAACAGAGACCCCTGGTGGCTCTTATATGAACTGCCATATAATAACTTACAAAGAGACTGACCAGGAGGGAGAAGCAACACGTGCCAGAGACTAGAAAAACCTGTGTGTGTGTGTGTGTGTGTAAAATGAGGAATGGACTATATATGCATCTTAATAATCAGTACCCAAAATAAGATGCCACTGAAAGCTGGAGGCCGGAGCCAACCACCTGGTCAAGGCATCCCCTGTGGTCCAAGGGGACTGAGATCGAGTTCATGTCCTCATGACTTGCCTTGCCAGACTTCACAGTGACCTGATAATGAAAAACTCTGTCTCTGGCTAACCTAAGAACGGTACGTACTGCAGCTGGCTGGATTACGACAACTGGGGTAAGCAGAGGGCGATGGGAAGGGAAGGGAAAGGCGGTAACGAGGGCTTCATTCTCAAGGTTTTGGGAGATGGGGAGGCTAATTCCTGCAAGAACAACTTAGAATCTAATTTTTCAACTGAAGTCCCCAAGCTAGTTAAATAGGAAGATTTTAATAACAGTCAGTCCCTATAGTCCCCTTGTCTAGAACAATTAAATTATACCCCTCAGACAGTACAAGACTTGTCAGTGGACTGTGGGGAAGCTGATGAGTTGACACCAGGGCTAGTGGCATTTGTTTTGGGGAAGACGGTGGGCTTGGGCCGCGTGGCTGGTGGTTTGACTGGGGCAGCCATCTTGACAGACTTGACAGGCCGAAAGGCGCAGGCGATGTCCCCAGCAGTACTGGCGCTGCGCTGGAAGGCAGGCTCAGGGTCCTTGAGGAGCTGGGTGTGCAGGGGGCTGGAGGGCTCTGATGTGGGGGCCACCACTGGGGAGGTTTTGAGGGGCTCCAAGGTGTCCAGGACCACATCAGGGGTGTGCTTGACGCTGCTCTGCCTCTCCAGCTCCCGCAGCTCATTCAAGGCAGAGTTCATTGTTGCCTCAATATCCTGCAAACCAGGAAAAAGTAGGAGGTGAGACAAATGAAGGGACAAGTCCCCAAGGATCCTATTTCAACTGGATAGGCCAAGTCACGAAGAAACCAACTATAAAATGTCTAGATTATTTGACTTGGCCAAACCCCTTGAACGTATGAATGCTCAGAATGTAGGGAAAGGGAGACAGAGAGATTTTTACTGTCATGAATTTTTTTTTTTCCTTGTAGAAAGAGTGGTGGAGCTGATTTTTAACTAGAGTTCTTGGCTTTTATGCATAAAATATATATAATCCTGGGGGTGGATGAACTAAGAGTGGCCAGGAGTTGGGTTGTAAGCACACAGAGATTTATTATCCAATCCTCCCTACTTTTGGGTATGTTTGAAAGTATACATAGTACATCATTTTTAAAGAGGGTTAGAGATGAAGTATGATCTTTATTTTCTTGAACTTCAACGCCAAAGGTTAAGAGGATTAGTCCTTCTTCCTCTGGGGCAGGGTAGAGTCCCAAAGCCTAGATTAATCAGGACAACCCCCACCCTTCAATCATGGTGTCCAAACTGAAACCATTTCCTTCTACCCACCACCATGAGAGGGGAACCAAAGAGTAGCCAGGAGGGGGAGCCAAAGCCCACATAGGTGAATCACCTGCAAATCAATGGAACACTCCAGATCTTAGGAAATAGCAGTCCTAGCCCAGGATTAAAGAACCAAAGAACCTTTTTATGTAAGCCAGCTGCCTCCCAGGAGGACCTCCTAACTCCCCACCACCCTCCCCACAAACTTGTGTCTGGCACCCAAACCACCACTAGGGCTCCTTCTTGGGATGAAACTCATATGAAAGATTGGATGCTCCAAGCAAAGTCCCCCATTAAAATTTCTTTATCCTATGGAGTGATCCATGTTTCCATGTTTTCTCTTGACTGTGATTCAGTTTCACTTATCCCTATGACACTCTAAAACTTTTTTTTTTTTTCCAGTACTGGGGTTTGAACCCAGGACCTCACACATGCTAGGCAAGCACTCCACCATTGAGCCACATCCTCAGCTCTCTCAAATCTTCTAAATGCTCTCACACCTCAGTCTCACTCTGCAACTAGAGTCTTTCCCACTGTGCAGCTTTTCTGACATTCCTATTAATGTCTGGAAAAGGAAGGACCGGGGAGGATTCCCATGGGGCAAGGCAGCCTGCCTACAGGAGGCACACAGGCACAGAAGAGAAGGCCAGCAAAGCAAGACATCTCAGGCCCAGAGCTCAACATGGGGCTAACCAGTACAGTTCCTTAAGCAGAGCACCAACAAAATCAATAGAGACCACAACCAGCTGCTATTGCCCCTGGAGGATGGGTGAGGAGCATCTCAACCCAGTTGAGACACAAAGGGCAACAATGAGCCCTTAGTTCCTACCTGGTCTAATGAAAATTATATAGTTGGGAGAGACGTCTGAAAGAACTGGCTGGAGTGGCCCGGGTAGTCGGATTTTTAGAGATGGGATTGGATCTCTAATATTTCATGGAAAACAGAGAGTCATCAGTGCGGTACAGACGTGAAGGAAGACCCTACAATCAGGGAGTTCAGGTGCCCCTGGATTTGGAGCCTGTGGCTGGAAATCTTTCTAGTACTTGAGCTTCCTGTGTCAGAATATTTCTGAGTATTTAAGACCAGAATCAGGTTGTGGACCCATCATCTACTGACTACATATCAGATCAGTTTGAGGAAATGGAATAAGGGGAATGGGCAGAGATAAACAAATAGAGCCAGAACTGTTCCTGAGCCTGAACCCTCAGGTAGCTTCATGAAAGTCTACCAGGGTCTTAAGACCCATAAATTGGGCTGAATGCTCTATCAAAACACTCTCACTCATTTTAAAATGAGTAGGCTTACAAATAGGTTATGAACAAGAAACCAGAATTTTTTGCTCTTATCTTCAAGTTCTTGCTGGGCAGAGAGGGACAGACAATTGCTGGGCAAATGGTCTTATGAGGTCCACATGTCCAAGAGTCCCTGAATAGCAGGCACAAAGCATCATTCTGTCTCAGGTCCTGTCATAATTAACATGGACTGCCCAAGTAATAGTGACAGGTGTGGACTCATGCTAACTGCTTGTCCAGGAGCCAGCACTTACCTGTGCAATGACCTCAGGGTCCATGGGCCGATGGTTATTGAAGCTTTTTGACCTTCCTGCTGTGGCAGTCTTCCGGATCTGTGGACTGTCTAACCGATTTTTCAGGGATGAGTGGCGACTGATGGAATTGAGGCTCCCGTGCCCACTGATGGAACACTTATCTGGCCCTTCCTTGGGGAGACTCTGGCTCATGATGGGCTGGGAGGACGGGCGGCAGCTAGCCCCCACCCCCGGGGAGGAGGAGTCAGTCAGGGAACTGCTCAGCCCATGGCTGTCACTCCGAAATGTTTTCCGGATGCTTCCAGATTCTGGACGCTTCCTTTGCCTTCAATCACAAACAGAAAGGGCAGGGTGATCAGGGAGCCCTGGCTCCAAGGAAGATAGGATGGGTGAGGGGGGCAGATGTTGGCACCAAGGGACTTCTGGAAGGAGAGGCACACAGAGCCCCCTTTCTCCTCAGTTCCGCCTTCTTTGGCCTTCTCCAAAGTGTCTGTCCCCTGCCACCCCCACCTGGGCAAAGGAGAAATGGATACTTACTTGGAGGTTTGGGCTTTGAGTTCTGAAAGGTGCTGTCAGAAAAAAAACTTCTGATTAAGGGAATAATTTTGATGGGAGAAAGAATCATGGAAAGATCCACTCCATTACCTGCTTTGAACAGAAACCTAATGCCCCAGGTAGGAAATGTCTCACCATCACCAAGGAAGTGGGCAATAGATGGGAAGAGGACAGTTAACACTTCCAAATTTTAGCTTGTCTCTTGGTCCAACTACAGCAAGACTGTAATCATTTTGGGCTGAGGCAAGAGGCTGCTGGTGCTTATGCAGACATGGGACAGATGTTTCAAGCGGCTTCAATGTTGCAGACTCAGGGCTCAGTGTGTGCATTTTTTTCGGGTGGAAAGATATCCACATGACTCCTATGTCATTCAGTGCTGGGCTGAACCCTCACTCTGGGCCAATCTGTTTCACACCACTAAAGCTCTTGAATGAAATGACTTGGCAGAATCTTCTATGGGTGTTGCCTGATACTAAATATTTTCATTTTGTCTTGGAATCGGATTTTAAAGGACCTAATCTAAGAAGCCATGAAGCTGCTGGTTCAGAGAGCAGCTGGGCAGCTCTGATTTTGAATCTGTTAAGGGAGACTGGGGTGGAAGGAGGTGAGGCAACACTCTGCAGAGAAGGGAGTCTAGGAGGCAGGGCTGGTGCTCTAAGCCAGTCCTGGTTGTGTTCATTGCTGAGGTTTTCCTCATCTTTGTGGACCTGAAGCCTAGCCGGAGACCTGGTACATCGCAGCCGTTCTATGTAATATCTGCCTGCTCGGCATTTCTAACCTCATGAGTCAGCCGTTCTCAAGTGGAAAAAGGATATTCTCAGACTCTTAGAAAGCTCTTCTGAAATGAGCCCACCTCTGCAAAATTTTTTCTCTGACATCACTAACTCCAACTATAGAAATAATGGCTCTCTCCTTCCCCTGCTCCTCAGAGCATCCACAGCTCTGCTTTTTAGCTACAGCTCCATACAGTCTTTACCTTGCTAGACGGTGGCTCTGACACTGGGGGCCATGTCTTATTTGGTTCTGAATAGCCAGTACTTCTGCTCAGCACAATAGCAGATGCTTAATAAATGTGCTCAGTTAAATCAAAATGCCACACCCTAATAACTTCTTTCTGATTTTCTCTTTCCATTCAAGGATGGCTGACTCACAAGCTTAAATATGCTGAACAGGCAGATTTACAGGAGTGACTGCAGCACACTGGGTCCCCAGTCAGGCCCTGGGGACATAAAGATGAGGAAGACAAGAGTTGTTAATTCCAGAGATCTCAGTGTGGAACCAGTTAAGCACTTTTTGGGTGCAGACCAAGGGCATCTAACTCAGCCCTGGGGAAATCAGGGGTGTCAGAAAGGCTTCCCCCATGAGGCAAATCTTTGGCATGAGTCTTGAAGGGAGAGGAGGAGCTGACCTGGTGAGGGCGGTCAGCAGATGTGAAGGCGGAGGGGGAGAGAGAACCCAGGGCACTCAAGGAATGGAAGGAGCTTGGAAGGATTGATGGGGCGAGGAGGCACAGACTAATTCCTGAGGGCCAGCCATGCTGGGGGCTGTCCCTCAGACACCAACTGACTGGCTGGTGTCTGGGTAGGCCTGAGAAGGCCATGGTGACAGAGGCTTGTCCTCTAAGAATTTCATCATGAGATTCTGATACTACTAAGTAAGGAGTTCAAGGGAAACACTTTGACTTTTTACCAGATGTTCTTCTTAGACTGTTTCTCCATCCCTCTCTATAATTCTTTTGTACAAGTGGCATCAAATATAATGTCTTAAAAAATATGTACCTAGGTCTGTGGATGTAGTTGGTGGTAAAGCACTTGACCAGAATGTGAGAGGTCCTGGGTTTAATCCCTGGTACTGCCAAAATAATTTTTTTTTTAAAGTACCTAACTAAATATCTGACTACCTCCACCAACCCTGCCTTGGTTTCTGGCTTAATAATAAGCTTACAACCTTATGAGTATAGGCTTATAATTAACATAGACTTGTAAATAAGGGAGAAAAATGTGATTAGCTCACAGTTACTTTTTACTAGCTGCCCTCCCAGAATGGCAGTATGCTGGAGGGAAGTATAAAATCCTCAATTTTTTACTGGCCTGAATTAAATTATAACTACACAGAGTAAGTGAGCTGAATAAACTACTTTATGAACTTGAGGGTGAAAGAGATGGAAAAGAGCCACGTGTCCCAACCACTCCCCCTGCTACCGTCTGGTTGGAAGAAAGCCAAGAGATCTGGTAACCTGGTGTAGTTTAAAAACAACAAGCATCTTTTATTCTCCTTCCAGTCTCAGTGTCCAGAGGCTACGTTAACAGGTTTTCAAAGTGCAAATCATTTCATTCCTCCAAAGCCAGAGGGGAATAAAAACTGTACATCATCTCCAATCCATATTCATCAGGAGCGCCCTGGGGCTTGTCATCCTGCTGGCTCTGGGCCAAGTTTCAGGGTCTGGCGGAAAGAGGTCTGTAGGCTTTGGGACTTGTTGTCTGGCCCCTTGAGATGAGATTAGTTCTCCAATAACCTGAATGCCTCCTGGGGAGGCAGCAGCACGCAGGCCAGGCGGGGGCGTGGAATCCCTCTAGACAGCCAGCTTGGGAGTGGGTGGAGTTAAAACCCCAGGATGTTGCTAATGGCACAATGAAAGCTGGGGGTCAGAGGTAAGAGCCTGCTGGACAGAGGTGGGCATCTGCAAGGGGATTGCTAGGGATGCTAATACACAGGGCTGAAGCAACAGGGAAAAAAAAGGAACATTATTTCTCTTGGTGTGAAAGGGCAGAAGAAAAGGGCACTAGGGGTCACACAATGAATAAAGAGCTCAGAACAAAGCTTTCCTGGGGGCACAGTGCTCCTCTCTCCTCCAAAGGAGTGAATGCAGGACAGGGGGAGAAACAAGACACGTGAAATCTAAATAAGTCCACCTGGCATAACATTAGCCTGGCAGAAGACACACAAGACTTTGAATCTTCAGACAAACAAGGGTGAAGAAAGACATGGCACACTATTATTTGAGTAAGAATTGGAAAAGAGAAGGCACCTCTAAGAAATAGTAGAAAACGAAGTTGCATATAGTGACCAAAGTTTTGGCCAAAGTTTTAGCCATATACCAGGAAGGCCTGGGTGGACAGACACTGCGGGAACACATAGTAGAACACCTTTCCACAGCATGAGGGCAGCTAGCTGGAGACCTGGCCTGTCCCCAGGCCTGTGCAAGTCTCCATAGGCCTGTCGCCTTGCAGCAGCAATGAACACATGCAAAGCATTAGGCCCGGGAGCTGGGAGCCCTGCACGCACTGCGGGAATGGAGGGGTGAGGTCAGGGGTGAGGCTGGGTGGTGCGCGTTGTACAGGGGAGCAGAAAATGAAAAGCAGAGCTTACTTGTTGATGTTTGCAAGGTAAATATCGGCTACATGACCCCCACTGGGACAGCTGGCCCCCGCTCTGGCTGTCACCTTTTCTTCAGGTGGCTCAGAAATGACCTCAATTTCAGACTTGGGGCTGGACCTCTCCACGACACCGTCCTCGCTGGGGGAGAAGGGGCAGGCAGGCAGGGAAGAGGGAAAACAACAACAACACAAAAAGCAGTGTTAAATCGGCAAGATGGCCCCCCGACACACACACGCGACCCCACACGGCTCTGAGGCAGCAGCGACACCTAGCGGGGCGAGCTCTGTGAGCACAGGCGAGGAAACCTAGAGGCCTTCGGAGGGACAGGTTGTTTAAATAAAAATAAATAATCCGCTGAGTTCGTGGGATCCTCAGCTCCTCAGGAGAGCTTGGCTAGGGGACACCTGGCTTCGAGGCATCTGCCTTCTACCCCATGCTGCTTTCCTGGGGTGGCCGTGCTGGGGGCCACCTCCTGAAGGAGGCAGAAGTCCAGGTTGTGGTTTATCTGCTGAGGTCTCGAGCACTGCCGGGTAAGGACAGTCAGCTCTGCGGTGGCTCTGGAGATGCCGGCGTTGAGGCAGGACATGGCCACAGGGCCACACTTTTGTCGCAGCACATCTAGCCTCGCTTAGAGCGTCCAAGCCGGTCCCAGGTCTCTCCACTGCTCTCCCGGCCCCTCTGGCTACTGATGACAAAGAAAGCCCCTTCTCCCCCACAATTCATCTTCTCTCCATCCTGTAGTGAAGTCATAATGCTAAATTTGGGAGGGTCCTGTCCACGCAAAGATCGCCACCAGGTTTGCGATGTTATCAACACAGGGAGGATTTCCCCGCAGAACGAGCCAGGGAGAGGCTGGGAGGGTGCAGACTCACTCAGGATATCAACCTTTAAAAAATAATATTAAGGGAAGGACTAAAAACAGTGACACTGTATCTGGGGGAAAATGAATGGGGGCGGAGGCAGGGCAAGGGACAGGGAGGCAGGTGTGGGTGGGCCACAGGGGATACTATTTCCTGCTAAGGAGACACTGCTTCAAAGATTGGGAATAGCCCATCCAACGAGATCTCTCTGGGACCTCACTGGATACAGTTGATCCAATGAGCAACCATGGTTTCCTGACATCCTTTCCCCTGTTTGCCCCATCTTTCCCCAAGTCAACCTCATCCAGGTTAAGTGAACTAGGTCACTTCCACAAAGCTGGTTAAGCCACATTTTTCCTAGAAAGTAACTCCTCATTTTCATTTACAGGTAAGAAAGTGCCACCAATAGCTCAGCAGATGGGGTGCCCATATTTCCTTAAAAGAAGGACAGAGAAGTGAAAATGTTTCCCCATCCTAATCTTTCCAAAAAAGGAAATGTATGTGGACAAATAAAAAGTCCACATTATCACTCATCAGGTATAAATGTGGATGAGCAATGGCCGGCAGGTCTCTAAACCAAATGGATCAGGGGGTGACTTAAAAAGGAAACAAAAAGTGGAGAGGTTTAAAAAATTCTCCATGGAGTTGGGGTGGGACCCCCTTCAAGGAACTGTAAACCTTGGAACTGCATTGGTTTCCCTTGGGGTGGTCTCCCTCATACTCCCATGGCTCTGGAATTGACATCTCACTCCCACAGTGCTGCCTGGGACCACCCCAAAGGTGCCAGGGCCCAACGTACGTGTCTTGGACAACGATGTACTGATGGGGGATGAGTCCGTCGATGCCATTGTGCCGGCCTTCCCACCAGTCATCAGAAGCCCGCTGGTAAAGCAGCAGGGATGCCCCCTTCTTGAAGGACAGTTCTCGGGCTGTCCGGCCCACGTAGTCAAACTTGGCAATGGCCTCGATGGGCTCACATTCTGAGAGGGCAGAAAAGAAGGAAACATGTATTGTTGGGATCTACAGACTCAGGAAACTGGTGGAAAAGCCCAATGAGCTGGACCAGCTCTGTGGTGGGAGATAACCCGGGGTGATATATGAAGCATGTGACTCCCATGCACATGGTGTGTCACTCTGAAAGCCCTGGTGTCCTCCTCCCTGCCTTCACTCCTGCTGTCTGTCTCTTCCACCTGGAATCCCCTTCTCTCTGCCTGATGAAACACATTAAGGCACTGCTTTCTCTGGCAACTTCTATGGTGTAAACATAACCCTTTATGTTGATTCTTCTTTATGATGATTCAGGTCATCAAACTTGCACTGGTGGGGTGTGGTGGCACACAGCTGTAATCCCAGAGTCTGAGGCCCTAAGCAACTCAGTGAGAACCTGTCTCTGAATAAAAAATAAAAAAGGACTGGGGACCTGGCATAGTGGTTAAGAGATTCTGGGTTCAATCCCTGCTACAAAAACAAACAACCCCCCCCAAACTTGTACTATATTTTAAAGACTTATTTATCTTTTGATTATATAATCACTCCAATAATTACACTAAATTTTAAGTAATTTATTTATGTTATCTATCATCCCCAGTAGAACATGAGTTTTTAGTCTTTATAAAGAGAAAATACTTAACCAATCAACTTTCTGAGGAGCAGAACATGGAAATGTGTTTTGTAAAAAATGCATGTGAAAGTAATTAAAAAAATTAAAAAAGGTTTATTTATGAATGCAATGGGTTTCTACTTTTGTGTGGGGCTTCTGACTCCTTATCTGTGAAATGGGCTAATAGTGCCTTTTTTTGTGAATTTGTTGAGAGGAGCCAATGAAGTACAATTTGTATAAGTGCTCAGAGCGATGCTTAGCACTGTGTATGAGTAAGTTAGTCAATGTTATCATTATCTTTACTTGTTCTAGGCTGCAGGTAGAGATTAGATAGTGGAAACCTAGCACCTGAGAGTCAGATACTTTGGGTAGTAGAGACAAAGGCTGATTCAAAACAAGCATGCTTGGATGAGCTCTGGCTAGGGAGTCTGCGGGGTTAGGAGGACTGGAGATTTCACCACAGCAGGCTGAGCAGAGAAGGCCCATCTAGGCATCCCAATCTCAGTTCTCCAAAGTCTCAGTATGTCATTTGACCCCTCCGGCCTCCATCTCTCAACTAAAAAACTGTGGTCCTGTCTGTTTCATGAGGATCAAGTGACAGTTATCTCTTGAGCCTCCAACAGTGCAGGCTTGAGGTAGTTGGAGCCCAGTGATAAATCCCTAGTTCACCCATTCCCTTCAGAACATGGCAAATGACCACACTACTTCTTCTCACATTGGGGTATAAATAAGCAGCTCTAATTTTCTTCTCCTTTGAAAGTTGGCCCAGAATTGCAGAATTCCCAGCAAGGTAGAGAACAGGCAAAGCTTTGCAGACTCTGCCATTTCATTCTTGTGCCCAGAAAATTCTGAGGCCCCTTGTCAGCTGCTGAGACTCCCAGAGCCCAACTGATCCAGAAATGGAGGTACGGAACTGTTGGAAGCAGGGAAAATGTGCTGGCTGAACAGGCTCTAATAAATCACGGGCATAGCCAAGGGCTGGCGGCTGACAGCTGAGCATTCCACTCCTGGATGTGCACCCACCAGGCTGCTCAGCACTCTCATGTCTGTGCTGTGGACAGGGTCAGTTTTTCCAGTGGGCCGGCTGCAAGCGTGTGGTTTCTCCTCACTCCCTCTCCCCTCTGGCTCACTCCCCTTGGCTCCTGGCATCTAACTTCTCTATCCCCTAGGCTTGCTGTTTTTCAGATGAGCTTTCACTTTGGTCTCCAACTACTTGGCAGGAGTCTGGGCTGTGATAAGGGACTAGGACTGGGCTAGACAAGGAGTTGGGAGGCAGGGCAAGAAGACTGAAGGGCTACAAAAAAGTCTAGTTTCTCACTTGTGCTCAAATACAGAGACCATTCTATTTGAGGATGTCCCTCTAAGGAAGGGAGCTAGGAGAGACAGGAAAGCAGCCAGGGAACTGCTGGGCAGGAAAGTTCATCAGGGGCACAGGACACATAACCACTCCCTGCTTTACCCCTAGTAGCCCCACTGACCAGGAAGCCGGGCCCCGTACCGTCATCACTTGTGTGGTGTTCTGCGGTCACATCCTGGGTTGAGTCTTCAGCCGAGGTAGTCTCTCCATGAGGGCTATCACTGCAACAGAAGGGACAGTAACTGGGATATCAGCATCTGCTTACAAAGTTCTCTTTCCCTTAATACAGCCTCCTTGGAGCAAAGGGGTCATATGCTCTAAATATACACAGCAGACAAATGCTCAGGATGAAATATATACCCCTAGAGGTTCTCTGCTCCAGCTCCTGCTACAAAAACCACTTGAGATTATTTCGGATGTAGACTATCTCCAGACAAATGGAAATTCTTTTGAAGTTATCAAATAAATTCTCTAGAAAATGCAAAACTACTCAACTTCTTAAGGAGTTGTTTCTCTACATGAATTTGTTTCTGGTTTTCAAGGAGGGAGCCTGGTGGAGGGAGTACTGGACTTTATCATCAGATATATCTGGATCCAAAAATCATCTCTGACACTTGATAGCAGTGTGACCCTGGACAAGTACTTAATCTCTTTAGATCATAGTCGCCTCATCCATACACTGAAGAAAAACGATCTGTCCACCTCAGAGTTGAGGAGGAGTCAATGATATAATCTAGTGAAGCATTTGGCATAGAAGGGTATGTAGCACTACCTTTCCTTCTTTCTCCTTCTGCTTAATGTCCTTAGGTTGCTTTGTGGGTTAGCCTGTGTAGTGGTGAGAAAGTGAGTCACAGGCGTGGGTGGAAAACAAGAATGGAGAAGAAGAATCTGCTGTGGATTAAATTCTGAAAGATGACAGGGGATGAAAGTCAAGATCTTGCAAAAAATTCACCATGCAGGGTAGAGAATTGGGAATGGCCAGGGAGATAGTAACTTTACTCCTGATCTCCCGGTTCAGGGACTTCAGAGCCGATGGAAGATCTTACTTCTTGAAAAGTAAAGAAAACCCTATTAGTGTCTGAGGTTTCCTCCTCCAGCAGTAGGAGGTAATCAGAGAGCCTTTCTAGGCACTATAGAAGACCCAACCTCACATCCTGGCCACACAGTCTCTACCTCTGGCTCTGCGGACACTCTCTTCCTGTGGGCACAGGTTCTATGGTCCCAGGAAGTTCCTCAAAAACTTTAGGTGACCAATTCAGGACACCCCTGATGGAATAAGTCAGTTCCAAGGAGGTTTATCAATTCCACAGGACATTCTGGGAGAATATCAGTAAGGATTCCTCTCTGTCAAAAAATAGAGGCACAAATTCCTCACCCTTTTCGGTGCTTCAAAACCTTCTGATGAGTTTGGTGACATCTTGGAAACCCTGGGTGGTGACTGTGGTGGGGGAGACAGGGGCACACAGGCAAAGGCACACCTTTCCCCAGGATGGAGGTTCATTTACATGGTCATTCACTAAGGTCACAGTTCCTGAATTTCAGGGAGAGCCTTGGAAGGCTTGTTAAAAAAGAGCTGTCCCATCCTCAGAGTTTCTGCATCACCAGGTCTAGTTGAAGCTGGAGACTTTGCATTTTTCTCTCTTTCCTTTTTTTTTTTGTCTGCAATTGAGTTGGAGTGCTCTACCACTGAGCTACATCCCAGCCATTTCTATTTTTTATTTGAGACAGGGTCTTTCTAAGTTGTCCAGGCTGGACTTGAACTTGTGATTCTCAGGCTTTCGAAATGGCTGGCATTATAAGCATGCATCACTCTATCCATCTGGTGAGAATCTGCATTTCTAACCAGTCCCATGGGACCTGGATGCACTTTGAAAATCTCTGGGCTGTTTAAAGGCAAGATGATGCTTTTAAAGTTCTCTTCCAGCCATAAAATTCTATGCTTCTCTCATTTGATCCATCACCCCTAACAATACCCCTGATCCCCACCCTTCTCAATACTGGAGGTCCCCAGAAGGACCCCATCATGTGCTAGCAGGCAGTCCTAGAGAACCAGGTTCCAGTTTCAGAATGGGAAGTAATTTAAATAGGTTTGCTCCTCATATCCACAGCTGTGGGAGGCAAGTGGCTTGTGCCTTCTCCCTTGTGGTCCTGATCTCCTGGCCATTCATTAGGGTCTTTGGGGCTCACCTCCTTTATCATCTTAGCTCACTTTGCTGCACTTCTTTCTCTTCCCAAAGAAGAAAGAGGAGAGGCTGGGAACTTCCACATGGGTGTGAGGCTCATGGCCCGATGGTCTCTCATCCCAAGGTCCCAGAATCCTGCTCCTTGCTGCCATTGGTCTGAGGCTTCCCATCTGGGTTATGATGTCAGGTAATGTCCCTAAATAATATTATGGTATTTCTATAGACTGTTAATTAATGACAGACCAAACAGAGGAGGCTGAGAAGAAAACTGGAGGAAGGTGCCTACCCAGGAGAACACCCTTTAGGCTCTGTTTGCTGCCCTGGTTGGGGACTGAGGGGAAGTGGGGGTTCTGTTCTCCAGGTATTTGCGGAGCTGGAGGTTGAACCCAAGGCTTCACATATGCTAGGCAAGCATTCCACCACTGAGCTACACCCCCAGCCCAAGTAGTTTGATATTTGAGAAGTGAGGGCAGATGTTCTGCCTGATTTTCAAAGGCAGGTAAAGCAAGAACTGAAACACACCATCCACAGCTTTTCACTACTTATATACAAAGGGGAAAATCAAGTTTTCAAGTTATATGTATAAGGACAGCTTCCTGGAGCTCACCAGCCAGAGCCTGAGACCTGAACTGACCACCCTCCCTTAGTCACCACAAATTATCTGTCAGCGGGCCGTCTGACGGTCCTCCAGCTCAGACCCAGACCTGGAATCTGCAGTATAGCAGAGAGGAGTGGACTCAGGGATGTCACTGCATTAGGATGTTCACAGAGGCACAGATTATCAATTTCTTTACTGCTTGAGCAGGAGTCTGTCCTGTGGGGGTCAGGAAGAAGTGTGGACCAATTGGCCTCTAATTAAGTAAAGAGCCTCCCTTTTCCTCCCTACCTCAGTCAATAGCAATGGGGCTGGTGAATTGATTCCAGATGTTGCATTCAGACGGAATCCGATTGGGGTTGGCTTGTGCTTTCAGCTCAGGCTGAAACATTATTTAGGTGGAAAAGGGAGAGGGAGGAGAGGGAGGTAAGGGATGTTAGGGATTAAAAGAGAGAGACAGTTGTCTTTGATGGAAAATAACACTGAAATGGTATCATGGGTGGGGAAGGGAAGCTACATGGGGTAACGAATGGTCACTGTGAGAAAAGAGATCAGGGTTAAATCCCCATCATCAGAGTAGCTTGAAATACACTGTCACTGGCCTCTCTCAGTTGCAGTAGCTTCATTTCTAGCATAGAAATATGACTCCATTTTTTGGAAATGATTCATTATTTTTCTAATGGAGGGGTCTAGCAAAAATGTACCCTAGGGATTTCTTTTAGATTTCTGTTCTCATGCTAGGTCATAAAAAAACCTTACCCTACAGAATTTAATCCTGCTTCAGGGTGGGACATTGCCCAACCTGCTGAAAGTAAAGCTTACTCTTTTTTCTCTTCAAAAGTTTCTGAACTCATTCTAAAGTGTCATCTTACAAAGGCACAGTCAGGAAATCATGCCTCATATCTAAACTTTTCTCAATAAGAATGGGATTCCTTGGGCTCAGGACTGTCTTCCTCATAGCATAGGACAGAAGTCTGAGGGACATTATGGACTAATGAGAAGCAGTTTGATACACAATATTACTATTAATATTATGGACTAATGAGCAGCGGTTTGATACACAATATTACTATTAATATTGCATTAATAGTATCACTATTAATGTTATTGTCATTATCTTTCAGAATGGTCCTTACTACTCTGAACTCATAAAAAAGGGAGCTGGCATGAAGTGGCACTTACTCCATAGGTGAGGCTGAGGTGAGGGGACTGCCGGAAACATCCCCAGACCCTAGCAGCCTGAAAAGCCTAGGAGTGATAGGCTGGAGGACCTGGGGGTTTCCGTGTACTTTCACTTGACCATCTGGCCCCCATGCCAGTTGCATCAGTGACTCCCACCCTCATCCAGCCCTAAGCCCCCTACCAATAATCCTCCATGCTTCCTCCTCTGCTGTAGACAGGGCCCTCCAGCTCCCTGGGGTTTGGGAAGATGTTCTCATGTTGGATGATGATGGTTTTGATCAGCTCATTCACGTGGGCTTGGCAGGACACCTGGTCGTGGCCCTCTGGCACTGACATCAGCGAGGGCCCGAAGCAGATGGCGAGGTTGTAGGGGTCCATCATGTTCTCTTCACTGAACTGTGATAAACTGGAGGAGAAGGGAAAGGAGGCAAGCTGGAGAGCTCTCGCATGAATGCCCAGAAAACACAATCACAGAGGCACTGCCAAGAGCAAAGGCAGAGGGTCCACAAATGACCACCTGCCTTTCTGGGCACCAGGGGCCTTCTAGAAAGTTAGCTGGAGAAGAGGGTGACCACCGGATGGTCATTTAGGAGCCAAAGAGAGGTAAGGTGGAGGCTCCTACTTGGAAGTCTGACCTTCCTTTCTCTCCAGCTCACCATTCAAATGTTCCTTACCACTCCACCCTCACTCCTACCCTTGACCTTATCCATCCTACATTGAGAACAAGTCACTCGCAGATCTGAATATGGCTCCCACAGACCAACCTTCTAAGCTGCCAGATCAGATGGGGAACCTATGCTTTCCCTAGTAATAATATGGTCAGGAGACATAGGCATTGTATGCTGTGCACCCTTATTATATAGCAAAATGATCACGTTATTAGGGATTTTTATTCAAGCCTCTAAACTTGTTAAAAACAAGTAGCCAACTGATTAGCTTTTGTATTCCCTCAAGACATTAAATTTCTTTCTAGAACAGCTAATGCAATTGTTTTTTCATTTTCATAACACCTCTTATACTATTACATTCATGACTTATTCTGGAAAAAGTCAGCACGCTGTTCAAATTCTGCTCAGGCTTCTTCTGGATGCAGCCTGACTTCATTACTGGGTATTTATTTTTTCTGGGAACACCCTCTTCTCAGACAGCAGCAGCTCCAGCCACACTTCCAACCTTGGCCAAGGACCTAAGGCCTTCAATCAGCCATTACACCTGGTGAGTCTCCAGTGTTCCCTGCTGTCCAGGCACAGAGGGCTGGAATCTCCCACCCCTCAAGCCTGAAGAGTTGTGAGCTCTACTCAGGAGCAGAGTTTTTCCCTTATGATCCTGAGCAGGAAGTTCCCAGCATATGATTCTGACAGATACTGAGAAAAAAACAGAGCCCTCTGATGCTGTGCTGCAGGCCTAAGACTCGGCTGAGTTTGTCTCAGCAGCTGTCCTTCTGAATGGGGCAGAGTTTATTTCTAATGTGTCCCACATCCAGACTCACATTACAAAGCTGGTTTCCCTCTAACCCAATGGTTCTCTCTTCTTGAGATTCTGATATGTGCCTCATGCCCCTTTGAGGGTCACTGCAGGACCTAAGATATGGCACAATGGATGTGAACAACTGTCACAGGAAGAAAGAGTTGAGAGTCACTGTTCTCAAGGACCTAGACTCAAATGAAAGGAGGCCAGTGATGGGGGTTATAAATCCCGGTGGACAGCCAGAAGGGGTGGCGCATGTCTGCAATCCCAGCTTGGGAGGCTATGAAAAGAGGATTCTAAGTTCAAGGTCAGCCTAGATAACTTAGTGAAACCCCATCTCAAAAAAATAAATTTTTAAAAAGGGGAGGGATAGGGATGTAGCTTAGTACAGCACTCTGGGTTCAATTCCTAGTACCAATAAGCAAACAAACAAAACCCCCTGAAACAAAACAAAAAAAAACCCCCAAACCTCAGGGGCTGGATTGCTTCACAGGAGTCCTTCCTTGAGTGTATGTGTGTGGTACTAAGAATTGAACCCAGGGCCCTTGCTCATATAAGACAAGTGTTCTACACTGAGCTACACCCCCTCAGCTCTTTGTAAATTGTTATTTTGAGATAGGGTATAACTAAATTACCCAGGCTGGCCTTGAACTTTTAGGCTTCCTGGCTCAGCCTCCCAAGTAGCTGGGATTATAGGTAATGCGCTCCTGTGCCTGGCTTTCACAGAGGTTCTCAAATATTTAATTTTATAATCCTTCCCTGGGTCTTGAGTTAAAAGGAACTAGAGATTTAGGAAGTTTGTAAGTGTACTTCTTGGTCAAATTCAAACCAGAGAGACAGGAGAGATAATTACCCTGGTAACCTCAGTAGGAAGGACTGAAGCAGGAGGTAACACAGGCTCATACTGAAGCTAACCCCAGGCTGGTGAGACAGGAGGCTTCAACAAGGCCTTGTCTCTTTCGTGTGATCTGACAGTGTTTTGGTAACATGAAAGAAAACCACAAGTTTCTGGGAAGCCTAGTTAGTGGTCAGAGGGAAGCAAACTCTAGCACTGTGAAAGATGAGGAACGTAAGAAGCCAACTAAGGAGAGGACTGTGCATTTCATAGGTAGTTACAATGACCATGAGCTTGAGGAGGATGTGGGCTGTGTTCTCATGGATTTAGGCCCATTTTATGACTCCCATTAAAAAACCAGACCAAGGTCCCTTTCTCTCTTCCAGTGCATTGTGGGAACATCCAAGTTAGTGGCTAAAGTAGTGGGTCTTAACTATTTGGGGGACACTGGGCAATATAGCAAGATTTGATCTCCACCAGACCAAAAAAACAAAACAAGACAAAAACTAGGGATTCTCCAGTAAATGTACACAGTTCTGTGCAATATTTCATGGTGTTAATAATCTTTGAAGACTCTAGAGGCTATAGCTAGTATAAGATCTCAAACGCCAGCTGGGTGTGATGGTGCATGACTGAAATCCCAGAGGCTGAGGAGGCTGAGGCAGAAGGATCACAAGTTCAAAGCCAGCCTCAGCAACTTAGCAAAGCCCTAAGCAACTTAGTAAGACCCTGTCTCTAAATAAAAATGAAAAGAGGGCTGGGGATGTGGCTCAGAAGTTAAGCGCTTCCAAGGTTGTCCCCAGTATGGTGAGTGGATGGATGGGGATCTCAAACACTAAAGCACAGGATCTTTATTCCTATAAAAATACCTGAGATGAATAGCACTGATAACAAGTCTCTGCTTTAACACTGTATATTTTCTTTTTGCTGCTAACTTATATATATGCCATCTCCTTAAGAATTCTACTGTTTTTTTTCAGTTTGAGTCTATGACAGGAGTGAATTCACCTGGTAGATTTGAACTCCTCTTGTGTGTATCTTAAAAAGGTATGGCATTGTGGTTTTGCAGGAAGGAGACAATTGGGATCACCATGGTAACTTATTTTTCATCATGAACTTTTCTGGATTTTTTACTATTTGATATGTGCATTTGTCTGACTAGATTGAAAAGAAAAAATAAATAAGTAAAACATTCCAAGGATTTTAGAGTAAAACAGGCCTGATTTTTGAGTCTTGGCTTCATTGCTTCTCACTAGTTCCCTAATTAGGTTCTAGTTTCCTAGTTTCTTCATTGTAAAATGGGGACAATTCTCTGCCTCCTTTAAGGGGCTGTTGGGGAGATGAAACAATGGCACAATATATGCAAGGCACTTAGCACAGTGCCTAGCACACAAGTTGTGTTCAACAAATATTTTCTGTAATTATAATATCCTAGTTGCTTTTTGATATAGAACAGGGAATGGAAGATAGAGCTGCTGGCATTTGGCAGCCATTAATTTATAGGATTCTAACTATTTTTTGTTCCCCAACAGGTATCTAATAAGCTGAGGACTCCAGATCCCAAAATCAAAACTTTAAATCCTCAGAGACAGCATTAAGCTTGGGGCAGAGTTGTTTTTGATTTTTGCAATGCAGGGCTTGGTGCATGGAAGGTGAGCACTCTATCACTGAGCCACCACCCCAGCCCTGATTTTTAAGTTTGAAAGGGATATAGTAATACCTCTCATCTTAAAAAAAAAAAAAAAAAATCCTGTCTTAACCCTCCATCAGTACCAGGTGTACTGTCTCATTTCTCTGCTCCTCTTTATGATAAAATTCTTTCAGAGCTGTCTGTGCCAGCTGTCTCTGATTCTCTGAATTTTTTTCTCCTTCTGTCAGGGACTGAATTGTGTTTCCCCCAGATTCACATGTTGGAGTCCTGATGTATTCTTGGAGAGGGGATGTTTAAGGAGATTAAAGTTAAATAAGGTCACGTGGCGGGGGGGTGGGTAGGGGAGGCACGGGGTGGTTCTAACCTGATAGGATCGGTGTCCTTTTAGGAAGAGGAACAGAAACCAGAGTTCTCTCTGAGCATGCACAGAGGAAAGAAAGGTCATGTGAGGATTCAGTGAGAAGGTGGCTGTCTACAAACAAGGACAGAGGCCTCACCAGAAGCCAACCCTGCTGGCACCTTGAATTTGGATTTCTAGCCTCTAGTATTGTGGGAAAACAAATTTCTGTTGTTCAAGTCACTAGTGAGTGGGATTTCATTATGGCAGGCTGAGCAGATAAATTCTTTTCCCTCTTTCCTTCTTTACTCCCTTTGCGTGGTAAAATACACATAACATAAAATTTGGCATTTTAACCGTTTTAAAGCATAAGACTCAATGGCATTTTGTATATTCACAGCATGGACATCCATTACCACTTCCTAGCTCCAGAACATTGTTATCACCTCAATAGGAAACCTTGTATCTACTAGGCAGTCACTTTGTCCAACCCTCACTCCCCAGCCCCTGGCTATTACAAATCTATGTTGTATCTCTATGGATTTGACTCTTTTGGACATTTCACCTAAATGAAATCATATAATATGTAGCTTCTTTTGTCTGGCTTCTATCACTCAGCATAATATTTTCAAGACTCATCAATATTGTAGTACTTCATTCCTTTTCATGGCTGAATATTGTCCTGCTGTGTGGATAGAACACATTTCATGAGCTAGGAAGTAGATTCTTCCCAAGTCAAGCCTTCAGATGAGACCACTTCCTTGTCCCAATACCTTCGATACAACTTCGTGTAACCTTGGGCCAGAAGCCCCAGCTAAGCTGTACCTGGACTGCCAACCCACAGAATCTGTGAGATACTAGTTTATTTGCTTGCTGAGATTGAGTATATATATATATATATATATATAAAACCCAAGAACAAACCATAGCCAAAGATAAAGTTTGCACATACCCAGGACCCATACTATAAAGGAGAAAGTTCTTAATGGGTGGGCCCAGGCAGTCTCCATCAGGCACTACCTATCAACACTTGCTATACCTATTTGTAAGTGCACACTTATTAGCTGTGGAGGTGGAGGTGGTCTTCTTTATCACCTATGACCTGCATTCTATTAATTACTTTAGGAATCAATGATTATTTTAATACTGTATCTTTTCAATGTGACACTTTGATAAACAAATCAATCTTTTAAAAATTAAATAAACAGCAAAACAAAGCAAAAATAATCATCTGAATTGTACACTGCCATGTTTTCTTCAGCAATGGCCACCATCTCTAGCTCTGCCCGATGCTTACTCTATCGTTTCTCCTCCCCCGCCCAGAAAGAAAATATGTGGAAGAGAATGAGGCAATTGTACTTTTGTCCACAGTTACCCCAGGCCCTCCCTGCTCCTCCCACCCCCCATTTGGTCACCACTGTCATGCTTTTTGCTCACGCCTGGCTCATGTTGAGGGCAAGTATTGGTCAACGAGGGGAGACAATGATTGGTGACCCTGAGGGGACTAACTCAAGAGTTATTAGCAGAGTTTCTAGGTCACATGTGAACACACTGTGTGAGTCACAAGGGTTTTAACTCAATGGCAGTTGGGTGCCGAGTCAAGGCCTGGCCACTGAATGGAGCACACAGCCTCGTGGAGGAGGTAGGCTATGAAACCAGGACCTCGATAGCTCTGCAGGGCCAGCAGTGGGCTACATGGTGGTGTGGGCTCCTCAGGCAGGGCCCACTGCCCAGATAGCTATAGGGCCAGGATGATCTTGAACTTGTAAGCAAGCGGAGGCTTGTGACATGGCCTCAAAGCTGTATTCCTTTTATCCAGAAACCAACCAAATTACAAACACTTCATTTTTAAAAAGAAATATGTGCCCCAAATACCCTGGACCCTTGATTTACTGTTTGTCTTCCCTATTTTGATAGATTAATGAAACCAGAGAACTCCTTCTCCACTATATGGAAACTCACCAAGTCAGAATGATGATAAATTGACAAGTGAAGACAGCCTTAGGTCTATGGAGAAATGAGGAGGGCTGGGGACCGTAGTGAACTGGGGAGTGCCTGCCCCTCTAGTGGGCAGCCCTGACTCCAAAGGGAATTGCTACCACAAGAATGTGGGTTCAGTATTGGCAGATCTAATCATTTTTCAAAAGAAAACTAGGAACTGATATTTTTTAAAAAATAAGATCCCCAAATAGTTAAATGTTGTGTTAAAGTTTTCAAGACATAGTAGGAAGCACAGCTGGGTACCTTTTCTGGCCCTCACGTTGCCCACTTACAACCTTCATTCTGGGTAGCAGAGGAAGAGGTGGCAGTGAAAGCAGAGTGGAGAAGAGGTGCCAGACAGGAAGCCCACGTGTTCCTGCTCCTGCCTTCACTAGCACTGGGACCCAGGGCTTGCTCTTGACAAGGACACATGCTTGGAGAAGAAGAAATGCCCCATCCAAGCCCGAGACCTCTCTGGTTCTCAGGCCTTTCTTAAGCTACCTTCATTTCCTAGGTGACCAGCTAACTGCCACCAATGTATGGGTGACTCTCATACCAGTACCTTCATCCCAGGTTTCTCTTAGCACATGGATTCCTGTGTTCAAACGCTTAGAATCTCTACTTAATGCCCAACAGCTACTTTAAATTACCCTGTCCATCTCGACACTTTGTCTAGAGTCTTTCCTCCATATCTGTCTTCCCCAACTCCATGAATCTGGCTTATCTTCCCCTTCCCTTATCTTTAATAGGAATGAGCTTCACTATTTCCCCGTTGCACATGCCAAAAATGTAGGATTTCTGTCTTTCTCTCACACTCTACATCCAGCTTATCAGTAAGTCTGACTAACACTATGTTCAAAATATATCCCAAACCTTGCCCCCCTCACCATCTCCAGTCTTCCAACACATTGGCCAGACTACAACAACCTTGGGACCTGGCTTCCTTCTCTTTACAACCTTCTGTAGTAACTTCACAAAGCATTTTGGCAGGTTTTAAAATAAATACATAAATCAGAACATAACACTCTACTCCTTACAACCTTTCAATCGCTTCCCAAATCCAAACCCCTATTACCATGACTCTCAAACCTGAGTGTCCCCATGGCTCCTCTTTCATTGAATTTAGGCTGCTGCTCACACCCTGTCTTCTCAAAGGACTTTGATGATCACCCATCTAAAGCGTTTTCTCTTCTTTCATCTTCCGCCCCAATTCAGATCCTGTACTCTACCCCCTTCTTTACTCCTTCTTCTTCTAAGCACTTATTTTACTGATTAGCTGTCCCCTTCCCTGGTACATGAGCTCTCATTTAGCAATACATTCTTACAGTCTAGCACTGTGGCCAGCATACAGTAGGTGCGCACAGGCACACATTAGGTGCTAAATGTGTGTTTGGATGGATGAATAGGTCCATATGGAACTTCCAGAAGCCAAAACCAAGGCTTGATTCAGCTGTTCACTGGAAAGGCTACTCACTGATTGAGGAAGGCAAAGAGGTATCTCATGATAATCAGAGTGGTTTTGGGCAGGACCAGGAGAACTTTCCGGATATGCAGAGCTCTCTCCTGTAGGTTGTCCATTGCTGAAAGAAGAAAGCCATGTGTTATCCTTCACTGTGCCCGAGATCCCAGGGAATAGTGGTCAGAAGCCCCTTACTATTAGCAGGTATAGCCCAGACAGCACCAAGTCAAAGCTGCACACAGCACTGGCACAGCAACAGGAATTTCATTATTGTTGCTTCTGGGTGTGGGGCTGCACCAAGGTGCATGCTGGGTTCCACACATTTACCGATTCAGGACTTAAGGTATACTCCTTGGGCACAAGAAGGGTTGGAGATGTTCTCCCCAGCATCTACCACCTGCTTTTTCAAACAATTAGGAGCTGGGTGTGATTGCCTAACACCCATCCTGGAGGTCCTGCATCTGGGGAGGGAAATAGGCTGTGCTAGTCTTGTCCTGCACGCTCTATGCATGTATTTTCCTCCTCTGGACAAGTCTGGCTTATCTTCCCCCTCCCTTATCTTCAGTAGAAATGAGCAGAACATGACCAAAAGTAGGAAACATAGGTCCGTGGGTAAATAGCCATATCTGGGAAGAAGACCGGAGAATTTTCCTGACTTTTATGCTATGGGCAGGTTAGTCCCCTGGGCTTGTGGTCTCTGTCATGGACAGCCTCCCACTTCCACAGTGTCCCATGTAGATCTGGTTATTTTCTATGAGTGCCTTTATGTAAAGAGAAATGGGGAGTACTGGATTTGGGACAAGAGTATATTTCTAGGGGAGAACTGCACTGTCAAAGGATGAATGTGTTGGCCACCGCAGTCTAGCTTAGAAGACTTTACCTAGGTCCAGTTCTGGGAAAAGACATGAAGACACTACCCAAGGGATGCACAGAGTTGATTGCCACATAAATCACTTCCACTGAACTACCACAAACAGCAGATCAACAAACAAAACAAGAGAGCTAGTTTCTTGAATGCACTGGACCTTTCTGAGAATAACTGAGAGGGAAAGTACTCAGGACAAATGTTGAGTCAATTCAGCAACTCAGGGGTCACAAAGACCCTGGATGACCTCGGAAAAAGGATCTTTTCTCCATTGCAAAGGCATCTTTCTTAACAGCCTCTGGGGCCATCACTCAAACTCTGCTTCCAGAGTTTCCATGGATTGCTTATTATGGAAACAAATGAGAGGATGGCACACAGCAACAGGAGTTTCTTCCTTGTTGCTTCTGGGAGTGAGGCTGTTACACCAAGGTGCATGCTGGGCTCCACACATTTACTGATTCAGGACTTAAAGTATGTATTCCTTGGGCACAAAAAAGGTTGGAGATGTTCTCCCCAGCATCTACCACCTCTCAGTTATTCTCAGAAAGGTCCAGCGCATTCAAGAAGCTAGCTCTCTTGTTTTGTTTTTTGACCTGAATGCCTATCTCCCCCAGCAGTATCCTGAGCTTTTCAAGCTCCAAATTTTAGAATCAGAGGCAGAGAACTCCTAAGAAAATAGAAAATCTGTCTCTCTCTCTGGGAAAATACCAGATGCCTACTTCTTAGGATAGCATATATGAATACACCTGGCAGGTAAGCCATGCCATGTTTAAAGCAACAAATGGGAGATATTTGCAATATTTAGGCTTTTCCCCTGGTATCATGAAAAAGCCCAAACCCAATGTATATGCTTCAAACAACTGAAAAGACTGAGTCTTATGAATGAATTTTTATAAAGGCATTTTACTAAAGGAAGTTAAAGCCCAGAGAAACAAAAGAGTTTATGATGGAGGTGAAGCCAGAAGTCCTGACCTGGAGTCCTAGACTCTTACTGAAAAGTCATTCTCCTTCTCCTTCCTTCCTCCCCTGCCAGGGATGAAGAAATGAAGGTGAGCATAAACTCACTGAAAAAAAAAATTCAAAAGGAAAGCTTTACTGAAAAGCTTATGAGAAAACAAAGAACTCCATAAAAATATTCAAACCTAGTGCTTGGAGGTGCTGTGGCCCAGAAGCCACTCTGAGGCCAGGGTGATACTTACTGACGCAGGCCATCAGGTCGTGGAAGATGTCCTTAGGGAAGAGCGGGTGTTCCAGCCCCCGGAAGTAAAGCTTCAGGACACCAGCTATGGAGTCCATGTCGTGGTCATTCTGGTCCCCTGCCAGGGGGTCCTCTCCTGAGGATAAGCACACCCAGAAAGGAAAGAGTGAGAGAGGCAAACACACAAAGAATGAAGCAGAGGCAATGGGGAAGGGGTGACCCACTTATATCCTCATCCCAGTCCCTCAGCACAGTGCCCAGCACAGTGGCATGAGTGGGGTAAACCAGAGGACAGATAGAAGCACAGACTGCTGAGACTCAGGGATGTCCCTGTGGGCTGGGACTGGGACACAGGAACTGCTTTCCTTACAGAATCATGCAAAGAGGCTGGGACCAAGCCCCTGGGGGAGGAAAACGAGGCCAAGGAGGCCAGCTCCTCTGATGAGCTCTCACTCCTGCTGCCCCCAACAAAGGACACCTACTTACAGAACAATCATGCCAGAGCTCCCTATGGAAAATTTCATATCAGATGTAATTAGATTTAATGATAGGACCAACCTCAAATTGAAACTATATATATCCATTACAGTGACGGAAATTGCCAAAGCTTGCCCATTACCTTAATAGCCCACAAGATAATAAATGGGCTACGATGAACAGGCGCATTAGCCTTGATATTAACTGCCACCAAGGGTTCCGGATAAAGCCATAAACCGCCTGGATATCATAGTTAACTTCTTGGGTTTTGGCAGATCATCCGTAGGAGAGAGGCAGGATGGGTGAGGCCAAGAAGGAAGGAAGTGGATGTGCTCAGCATCTCCTGCATCTCTTACAGGGAGTTGCGTATCTAATGGGAAGTGTGTGCAGACAGCAGGTGTCCAGCTCAAGAGGGAGGCACAGGGGCTTCAGAAGCTCTGGGCCCCCCTCAGAGGAGAAAGGATAGAGCCAGTATCTAGGAGGCTGGCAAACACTTGGTCTTAGCTTTCAGGCTGTTCCCTTACCTCTTTCAAAGGCATTTTTGATGTCATTCACTTCCACCTGGGATCCAGACACCCGGAAAATTCCTTCATGCTGCAGTCCTGGAAACACACAGGGAAAAAGTGATCAAGGAGAAGAAAAAGCAGCCACAGAGCCAAGCTTAGCTGAATGCCTGTCTCCCCTGGCAGTGTGCACTGAAGCATCCTGTCTCTCTTGTTTTTCAGGCCAAAGGAGTAAAACATGTGCAGGGACATTGGGAAAGTCACTGGGATGATTATGAAGCATTAGCCTAAAGAAAGCACCAAATCAGAGGCTTAAGGGAAGGGATTTCTACAGCCTGCTTCTCTTCTGACTCCAAGGGAGACTATCAAGCAGGTACCTTCCCTGCCTTTGCTCACCTGGAAAGTGGGGAGGTGACCTGTTAGTGTTTTCTTGTCACTCAGGATCAGAAATGGGAGGTAGGTCGTGGCAGGCAAGACATTAGGTACCATCAGAGGAGTGTCATAAGATGTGAGGTTATAATGATTACTTTAGCTATTGTGACACTGTTCCACTATTCTAGGGGCCAGTGCGTTCAGTACTGATGAAAAAGAGTGGACATGAGAATACAAGTGATCCATCAACAGTATTGTCAGCCACTGTCCCAGGAGCTGCTCCTGACTGCTGCTTCTCACAAAAACAAACATGCATGAACACTACACTACAATGATGTACACAGAAACTTTGTCTTCTTGGGTTTTGTCAGAGTAGAAATATTCATAAAAATAATGCTTGTATAGTGACTGCTGTTAATAAATGCTTTCATATAAATGAAGTGCTTGGTCCTCACAATAAGGGATAAGCTCACAATAAAACAGAGGTTAAGCTGGGTGTGGTGGCGCATGACTATAATCCCAGAGGCTTGGGAGGCTGAGGCAGGAGGATCACGAGTTCAAAGCCAGCCTCAGCAATGGTGAGGCACTAAGCAACTCAGGCCATTTTAAAATCAGTGAGACCCCATCTCTAAATAAAATACAAAACAAGGCTGGGGATGTGGCTCAGTGGCCGAGTGTCCCTGAGTTCGATCCCTGGTACTCCCCCTCCCCAAGAAAACCAACAAAGCAAAACCAGGGGTTAGCAATACTCCTATTTTTAGATGGGGGAGAACTGAGGATAACCATCCCTTAGTTATACAGGTACTAAGGACTAGGGCCAGGACTCAGACTCAGGCCTCGTGGCTGTAATCACATACTTAGTCCTCAAGCCAGACTTGTGGGGCCCATTGATGTACAAGCAGAGAAGGTGGGAACCAAATGGCCATTCTGGATTTGTAAGCATGACTCACAGAGAGCACCACACATGCAACTGAGAAACCAGGGAGAAATCCAGGAAGCATGTCATTAGTGCCAGGCCCAGGGACTGAGTGGGTCTGGCACCTCTAATTCCAGTAGGACTGCCTAGGCTTTCTCAGACACCTTGGGTATCAATATTGGCATTTTGTCAAAATCTTTCTATAATGGCACAGTCCTTCAAAAACCTTAATGTGTCAAAGAAGTCTCACATTTATTTTAGGAAAACAAAACAGAATAAGGCTACATTTTGCTGGCTGCTTCAGGGTTACCCTCTAAGTGCGGGTAGCTATCGGCTAGACCTTTGGAGGTCAATCATACAGGCCAGGACTGAAAGTACAGAATTGGACTGAAACAACATTGAGAAATAATCAGAGGGACTGTGATTACCTGATTTGTAGTAGGACTTAAGTCTGTTCCTCTAAGGGACTATAAGAGCCAGATAATGTTCTTTAAACACAGAATGTAAATAGCAAGTGTTCTGACAGAAAGTCACATTCAATGTGAAAATACATTTGTTCACATACAAAAGTTGTAACCATACCCAGTGACTTGTCGAAAACACGATGTAGGGAAATGTCAGAAACCAGACTAGATGGTGTGTTCTGGTTGGTAAAGTATTGCATAAGTTCTTGAAGAGTGTCAACAGGGTGCTTTGGGTAGGGTAGACCACCAAGAAAATATGGTCTTGGTCTGTGGGCCCAAGGATAAGAAGAAATGAGAACTCAGCTTGGTGGAAATCAGGCATCAGGCCTGAAACACTCTGAGCTCTCTTGGTCTGGTTTCTGGGTCCTCTGAAGAACTGATGCTGAAGGGCCGCTTTTTTTTTTTGGAGTGCCTGATGGGATGATGCTGAGAGCAGAAACAATGTGCTTTCCAAAAGGAAAGGGGAAAACCAGTTGGCTTTTCATTATAATGAAGGTGAATCCTGACTTGCATAACCAAAATAGCACAGCCACCTTTTTCATTTTTCCTTAGTGCTCACTAACATGAAGGTGTAAAACCCATCAGATATGGGTAAGTTGTTTGGCAATGGTGCAAAACCTTCCATGCATGTTGTGCCGGATCCAGCTGTTGCAGAGTTGCTCTCCTAGGTAATTCTTTTTTATTCCTTCCTTCCTTCCTCTTTTTTTTTTTTTTTTTCCCTTCAGTACTGGAGATTGAAACCAGAAAACTCATACCTCCAAGCTACATGCCTAGTCCTTTTTCATTTTACCTTTTATTTTGAGGGAGGATTTCTCTAAATTCTCAGGCTGACCTTCAACTTGTCATCCTCCTACCTCAGCCTCCTGAATAGCCAGGATTACAGGCATGCACAAGGCTCCTGATAGATTCTTCTTTTTTTGTTGTTCCAGGGATTGAACTACAGGGTGCTCAATTGCTGAGCCATATCTCCAGCACTCACCTCCCCTTTTTAAAATTTTGAGACAGAGTCTCACTCGGTTGCTTACAGCCTCTCTAAGTTGCTGAGGCGGCTTCAAATCAGTAATCCTCCTGCCTCAGCCTTCTGAGCTGTTAGAATTATAGGCGTGCGCCACCTCTCCTAGATTTTTCTTGAAATGATTACTACAACAGCCACCTCCTGTCCCTTCTCATGAAAATGATGAGGTTTTCTCCTCCTCATGATTCAGTTTCATTAGTTCCTCATCTTCCTTCTCCTTTAATTCGTCCTAGATCACATTGACCCACTATTCACAGAGGACCCTCAGCTATCTCACCTAGATAATGGGACAATAATATTTACCTCTCAAGGGAAATGAAAATAGTAAGGATATAAAAATTCCCAGCATTTGGTGGGTCACAGATCCTTTTGAGACTGAAAAAAGTTATAAATACTATCTCCATTCAATGTGAAAATATATTTGTTCACATATTAAAGTTGTGATCATATCTTTTTTAGGGAGTTCATGAATACTTTGAGTCTCTATTAGGGAAAAAAATTCAATTTAGTTGAACAAATATTTTTTAAGCAGCTAGCTACTATATCTTTTAAGCTTTTTAAAAATCAACAGTGTATTTGTTTAATCCTAGAATACACATAATTTCCAAATTGCTAACGCATACTTCTGAGATAAAAATTACTACTGTGCAAGATTTCTTTAGCTCTTTTTGTCTTTAGACTTACAGAGTATAGTCAAAACACTGTTTTCCAGTTACTTGGTTAATTATTTTCTTCTTCATTCCCCTTTAGTGTGGTTACATGTTCTTTTGTAGTACAGTTATGATTTCTTGGTATTATTTACATTCTTTTTGTAGTTTTACTCACATTCTAGTTTTATTTATTTGTTAATTCACCTATTGATTACGGAAAACACTAAGGCAGTTCTAAAAGTCAAAACTACACAAAAAAGGCAAATTCAGGGCAATGCCACGTCCTGTTTCCCACTCCATTCCTTCTACCTCCTTCCTACCCTTCTCCTGAAATAATGAATAGAACATTAATTTCTAGATTCATCTTTATTTCTTGCAGAAATGAGAAGATACATGTATATTCTTTTTTTCTTTCTTTTTTGATACCAGGGATTGAACCCAGGGGCACTTAACTACTGAGCCATATCCCAGATCTTTTTTATATTTTATTCAGAGGCAGGGTCTTGCTGAATTGCTTAAGGCCTTGCTAAGTTGCTAAGGCTTTGAACTCTCAATTTTCCTGTCTCAGCCTCCTAAGCCACTAGGATTATAGGCGTGTGCCATCATGCCTGGCACATGTATATTCTTATATTTTCCCTCTTACCTGAAAGGAAGCATACTATAGATGCTCTTTCACATTTTGTTTTTTTCACCTAACAGCATACCCCCGAGGGACCTCTTGATATCAATTCATGGAAATCATCCTCATGTCTTTTTGCAGTTGTCTAGTGCTCCACTGTATGGACATATCATAGTTTTTCCAACCACCCTTCTATGTATGGGCATTTAGGTTGTTTCTGATACTGTGAAATTACAAACAATGCTGCAGCAAATAACCTTGTGAATATCTAATCTTTGCATTGTTGGAGGAATACCTTCATGGTGAATTCTTGGAAGGACTGCTGGATTAGGAGATCAGTGCATATGTAGTTTTATTATATACTGCCAAATTCCCCTATGCTGGTTTAGCTTCCCATCAGCAACATATGCATGTGCCCATTTCCCTAGATTCTCAACCTAGAAACATGCTTAATTTTTGTCTCCTTATGCATTGAACCTGCACAAGGGTAGGGATGGGAAACTCCAAGCCACAATATCTAGAACCCATCACTTCTCAGCTAACACCATAATTAGCACCCTAGTCTAGATCACCACCATGTCTTCCCTGGCCTGCTGCCTAACTTCCTATATCACCCTTATGATCTTATCTCAATAGAACAAACAATGATCCTTTAAAGAGATGACTCCCTGATCAAAATTCTCCAATGGTTTCCATCTCACTCCAAAAAAATAAAATAATAAATAAAAATAAAATCCAAATGCCTATCTTATCCAACAGAGTTGTACAAGGTCTGGCCTCTGGCTTCATTTCCTGTCACTTTCCTCTCCACTCTGTTCAGCAATGCTGGTTTTATCCTATTCTATGAATAAGCCAACAGTCTCTGCTCATAGTGTCCCCTCTCCCCATGATGCCCTTCCCCAGATGTCCACCATAGCTCACCCCCTTAGAACCCTGCTCAAATGTCATCTTCTTAGAAGTGGCCTTTCCCTTGAAACCACTGACAATAGTGTCTGTCCCCTTTCCATTCTTCATTCCTCACCTTGCTTTACTTTTCTTTATGACACCAACACGCAAAATATTGTACGTGAATTTGTTTATTTATTGGCTGATCAACTCATCATCTATTTGTCCTTCAGTAGAACATGAGGTTCAGGAGGACAGAAGCTTTTTAGTAGTACACAATAAGCAATCAATATATATTTCTATTGAATGAATGAATGAATGAAATACTTGGAAGAATGATGGGAGTTCAGATCTCCTTCTTCCTATTGTCTTTTAGGCACAAATAATTCCTCCTCCCCTGGACTCAGTTTGGACTTCTTTGCCAACTACTTGATCATTAATCATTACTATCTTGCGAAATTTCTTATTCTGCTATTCTGAATTAACACTATTTATCTCTTTTTATTTAACTTCTCCCTCACTTACTTATATTCTCCAAAATGCATCATAAGACCACTTAAAGATAGGAACAGTGTATTATTCCTGTTTTAGTTTTCCTACTTGGCGTTATGTGGTACTCAGCATTGTTCAGGGGCTTGATAAATATTTGTTGATTGTTTCAATAGTGATATACAATGCTCTTACTTCAAGTGACTGGAGATAATATTAAAAACGTACAGCTGATGGAGAATGGGATAAGTTGTAAGAATGCTCAAATAATTACTGTTCCAAATACGACCCTAAATAATGTCCCAGTTTATAGGGAGAGAGGAAGGTGAGAGGAGGAAGGGAGAACCTTAATGCCTCTGAATTTATATCAGCAATACTTTATCTACCTCTTTAGTTCAGGAAGGTCATTCTATCCCTCTTCCTATACTATTTAAAAAAATTTCTGATGCTCGGTTCCTAGACATCTCTATGGCACTAGTTCAGATATTTGTGCTTTCTAAACATTCTTAACCTTAAAAAATCAATTCTCTGGCAATTATCTCCACCCCTAAATTCTGTTGAACCAGACCAGTAGAGGGTAAGGACTGGAGTTTATGAGATGTAGCTTTGTCAAGCAGAAGGATTAGTGTGATTTGACTAAGTTTGAGAAGGAGCCAGCCTCTGCAGAATCTCAATTGTTAAAAACAACTTTAGGACTGAGCTCTTGTGGATGTTGTATCCAGTGAGACCTGACCAGAATAAAAATGGAATATTATTAGGAATCAGTTGCAACCTTACAAATGGAGTTGTTTCCAAACCAGACTGGCACAGAAAGCTACCATGACAAAATGATCAGGCTGTGCCATGGGAGATAACTGCATGCAGAGGCTGAGTATGAAAATACTGTCACCGTGTATTAGCAGCTGGGTTCTCTCACATAGCAGCTGGAATTTAAAACTCATTTTTGAGCTAAAAAAGGGTATTGTGGTAAGTGGCTGTGGCATTTGCGGTCAAAACATATGATGTCTTTCAATGTCTAGGAGCGGCCATTTTGAAGCAGCAAACATTATGTGAACAAATATGACTTTATTTTTATTTGCTAAGAAGGTTAGCATAGGGAGGCAATCTCTATTCTTACACTACAAAGAATTCCTGGATGTTCTTCCAACCTTTGCACACACATGGGTAAGGCCGTGGTCCTGCTTACCGTGTCTGCTGATAAACCGGATGCAGCTTTCTACCACCAGAGGAATTGCCTGGCTGGAGTCCTGAAAAGCCAAAGAAAAACAATATTACAATCTTCAAACAGGGATAGCCCAGGGTGAGAGCAAATGGGCCTCACTGTGGAACTTGTCTCAGATGGATCAGTGATGGTGCAGTCACCTGGCTTGTCCTCCAAGCTCCAGAGCACAAAAACACAACCACTGACTTGGAATGGCACTTATCTCCACCCCTAAATTCTGTTGAACCAGAACAGTAGTGGGTAAGGACTGGAGTTTATGAGATGTAGATGCACCTTAAATCTAGCATGTTCTAAATGGAGCGGGTTGTCTTTTTATCCTGACCCAGTGCACCACCAACAGCCATCCAATCCATCTTCTCAGGTTTGCCTTCAAAATATCTGTTGAATCTCTTCACACTTCTCCATCTCTATTGCCACCAGTTAGCTCAGTCCACCAATATCTCCATTTCCATCCCTGCTACCTACCCATCCCTTTACATAGTGGTCAGGAGATCTTTAAAAGTACATCTCAACTACTGGGGATGGAGACTGATCAAATTGTGTTATGTGCATGTACAAATATGGCAACATAAATTCTTCTGTTATGTATAATTAGAGTGTACCAAGAAAAAAAAAGTGCATCTCATCTCGTGAACTTTATCAGAGACTTCTCTTCTCAGCTTCACGTGTTCAGGATCTTGCCTTTGCCTCCACTGTCCCAACTTCTGCTCAACCCCATCTCTGCTACAGCTAACTGGCTGCCTTTCTTTCTCCAATAAGTCCTCCCTTGTCTCAAGGGTTAAATGAGTGACACCTGCTGCTGACACATTCTTCTCAACCCTGACTGTGACTTCATTATGTGGGTGTGAATATCTATTTGCACTGACCACCACCAGCTCAAGCTCTACAAGGGTAGGTCCTACATCCATTCCTGGGTGTCTAGTGCTGGCCATGATGCTTTCATATAGTAGTGCTTAATTAATACCAGTCAAAGGTCACAGGGTGAATCAAAGGGAGCTTCAGAAAGGTTTGTTTGGCATAAAAGGTAGGAAAGAAAAGAAAAGCCAGTTCTTGCAAACAGTGGAGATTACTTGATACTAAGCAAAACAGGCCTCCCAGATGTTAATCTTCATTCTGTCCTTTTGCTATATAACCCTTCTCATATTGTTTAACTTCTATGAACTTAAATTTGCCATAAATTTCTCAGTGGGTAGGGAATTCATGTGAGGAATGAGTATGTCCTACTGGCACGAGGGCATGAGTGTCTACTGTGCACAGAAGAATTTATAGAGGTCTTGGGCCATGAACAAGTCCTTGAGATAGACTGGTCCTCAAAACAACCCTATGGGGTATGTATTATTATTCTCACGAAGTTAACTCACTGCTGATGGTCACTTAGCTGGAAAGTGGCCAAGCCAGAATTCAAACTCCAGCTGCCTCCCTCTGAAACTGAATACTTCACTACCACCATGCTGCATCCTAGGAGTTCAGCAAACATTACACACCATCTCTCACTAAAAACCAGCAGGGTTTTATAATATAGCCACATGCACAAATCATTCAGCTCTGTGGAAGAAAGACATGAGGCAGAGGGGCCCAAAACCTAGCTAGAAAGAGCTTCAGCAATGTGTCAAGATGCATTCTACTGTCGTGTATAATGATAATTAGAACAAATTAAAAAAACAATTAAAAAAAAAAAGAGCTTCGGATATTCAGGACAGAGATGTTCAGAACTCTTCAGTGGGCTGGGTCCTATGTCTTCTGCCCATTTCACAGGTTTGCCTGTAGCCCTCTTCTGGCTCTGAATTTTCAGCTGTAGCTGTGGGGTTTGGCTATTATTAGGAAGCAGCTGGGTCTCATGAAGAAGTCAGGCCGAGAGAAGAGCTGGCTTGGCCTCCAACTCCAGAGCTTGCCAGGAATCACGAGGCTGCCAAAGGGAGTATTGCATATGCCAAGGTGGAGGGAGTTGGGAAGGTCTCAGTGACCCAAATGCTCATCTTTGTGACCCCCAAACCCATCTGCTTCCTCCAGCTTTCTATTGACAGCAGCCAGTGTCTACTCTCTTATTAACATCACTGCCAGATGGGCTAGGTGATTTTGTAGGAAGACTCTTTGTTCTCTCTTCCTTACTCTAATGAAGAAAATGGCACCACTATTAAAAGAGAAAAAATGCTCCAATTGAGGAAGTCTTTTTTATATTTACAGACTTCTGTTATCATACTTTTCACTTATAAATAGCAGCAGCAGAGAAAATGAAGATAGCAACAGGAAGGTTTGCAAAGTTTTGCTGGTCCCAGATTTGCATATAAAGACCCAGACAGAGGGAAGCTTGGAAGCTCCCAGATTACTGGCTTCATTAAGTTATGTGAAATTTAATGTTGGTGGTGCTCAACTGTAATCCCAGCAGTTCAGGAGGCTGAGGCAGGAGGATCACAAGTTCAAAGCCAGCCTTAGCAACTTAGCAAGGCCCTAAGCAACTCTGTGAGACCCTGTCACTTAATAAAATACAAAAAAAAAAAAAAAGGCTGGAGATGTGGCTTAGTGATTAAGCGCCCCTGGGTTCAATCCCCAATAGCAAAAAAAAAAAAAATAGAAAAAAAAAAAAGGTTATTTGAAAGCAAAATTTGCCGAATACACAGGAAATGGAATATTAGTGGCAAAGTAAGTAAGGATTGGCTGAAAATATGGCATCGAGGATAATAGCCTGAATGTGCATGGTTACTAATAGCAGAAGTGGCCCAGAGGGATAATCTGTGGCATACAAGGGTGGGCAAAAGATGACCAGTCTTATTGTAAAAGAGCATTTTTCTTGTCCCCATTGATCCAATGGAGCCTAAGATAGAGTCCAGTGGAAACAGACAAGTGACAAAGGCACCAAAGTTTTGGATGCTCCTGTGAATCTTCCCCACTCCACTCCCAGTGATCTCATTTCCCCAGATGGTTCTGTATGTCACTGTAGTGCCCTGAGACCTGTGTTTCACCACTGACTTTGCACACAGCTGTCCAGTAGTTTCTATATGTGCTTCCATCCACTGAATGTTTGTCTCTCACCTCTCCCCCAATGTTAGGACTGATGTAACTTTAATTCTTCTGGTCATAATATTTTTGGTCACATAATCTCAGAGTTGGAAGAGGACTTTAAGGACAATCAGGCTAAATTTCTGTCTAATCAGATTAAAGGAACTGCAGAAAAAGGGATAGTAGACATAACTTGGAAAAGATAGCACAGCAGTGGTCCAGTAATTTGCAAGGGAAAACAGGAAGATGGCAGATGAAGTCCAAACATGCATTGTTTGGCATAACTTCTTTCTTTTTTTTTCCTTTTGGTACTAACTGGGTGTTTAAAATTTGTAAATTTAAATTAAATTTATTTTTTAACTAATACATAAAATTGTATATATTAATGGGGTACCATGTGATATTTTAATACATGTGTATTATGTTTAAATCAGGGTAAACATATCTATCTCCTCAATTTATCACTACTTAATGATTAAAATATTCAAATAGGTTTGGGCTGGGGCTCAGTGTTAGTGCACTTGCCTGGCATGTGTGAGGCACTAGGTTCGATTCTTAGCAATGCATATAAATAAATAAATAATAAAGGTCTATCAACAACTAAAAAAATATTTTAAAAAGAAATTCAAATATTCAAAATCCTTTCCTCTAGCTTTTTAAAAAAAATTTCAAGAATTTTTTCTTTCTTTTTTTTTTAAACTTAGGGCCTTGCATATGCTGGGCACAGCTCTACCGCTGAGGCACAACCCCAGCCCTCTTCTAGCTTTTTGAAATGTACATAATTATCTATAGTCACCCTACTGTGTAACAACATACCAGAACTTCTTGCTTGTTCATATTTAACTGTAACTTAGTAATAACTGATCAACTTTTCTCTATTGGCATAACTCCTTTTTAGGGGGGTAGGGTACTGGGGATTGAACTCAGGGGCACTCAACCACTGAGCCACATTCCCAGCCCTATTTTATATTTTATTCAGAGACAGGGTCTCACTGAGTTGCTTTGTGCCTCGCTTTTGCTGAGGCTGGCTTTGAACTTGTGACTTTCCTGTCTCAGCCTCCTGAGCTGCTGTGATTACAGGTTTGCACCACCGTGCCCATCCTCTATTAGCATAATTTCTTATGAGTAAGAGAGTTAGGAATTTTTTTCACATACTGATGTCTAGAACATTTATTAGATTTCCACTTTCACCAAAGTCTTGACAACTAACCAGATGTGATACAAAGACCAAAAAAAAAAACAAAGGATGACATGAAAGATAAGATTTGGGACCTTATTATTTTATATAAAAAATAAAGGTCTATCAACAACTAAAAATGTTGCCGATAGGATGGAGAGTACCCTTTAAAAGAAAGAGAATTTAGGGGAGCTGAGGAAGCACTTGTGGTGGGGCAGGGGAAGGCTGGTGCCAAGGGTGGAGGCGCTATCTCAACCTTTGGGCACAAATGTCCAGTCAGTCACTTGGGAGTTAGAGCCAAGGACTCAGGCAGGCAGCACTACAGGACAAAAGGACACTTTGGGAAGGAGAGAAAGGTTCCTCTAGAGGAATATAATGACAAGGGAAGGAGCATGGAGAAAAGTCAGGCAACCTGGGGAGGAGCCTAAATTTAGAAGAATGGAGAAAGTGAGGCCATCAAAAAAGATATCAATGGCCAGGAGAGAGAAAGTACTAGGCTTGAAGAGAGCAGAGAAGTCTGGAAGCAAAAGCTGATTCACATAATTTTTAAGAAAAGTCTATGGGCTTTGAGCCTAGTCTTTGCTAGGGTAAAAAATGGCTAGAATCCATTAGGCACCCTCAAGAACAAAAGCCATCAGATTCTTCCTCTTGTTTGGCTTATTTGCCATAAACTCCCCAAAAAGCAAACATTGAATTCCTGGTTACTTTTATAAAATTCCTAATCTTCTAAATTATTATTTTACATCCCTATCTTAGATATGAACCACCATTATATATAAACTGCTGCAGAGAAACTGGGGTAGCAGAACAAAAACAAGCTCTTGTTTTGATTAGGGTTTATGGAAGTTTCTGGAACTCTTAGGCAAATCTAGCACCAGGCAAATGTACTTTGCCTGCAACTGCTTAGGTGCAGCAGGATGCAAACCAGATGGATGGCAAGCTGACCAGGAGCACATATCACCTGCCTGACTGTGGGCTCCCACATTCCTGCAGCCAGAGTCGGAGCTGCAAAGCCGGCCCACACGTGCTCCTTCTCTAAGCAGGAGGTCCAGTTTTGGATCAGGAACTAAAAGGAACAAAGTTTGAGCTCGATCCTATTCTTAGTGTTAAAGATGGCTTGCTCATTCTTTAAGACATATACTGACTAGTTTTCAATGCCATAAACTAACCCTGGGAGGCTTTCCATTCTTTTCCAGTTTTAAATGAAATCATGGGAGAAAGGAGAAAGAAAAAAAAAAAAAAGAGAGAGGAACAAGAGGAAAGAGAATTGCAATGAATATTTTATCATTTAAAAAATGTATAAATGTATTTGACACAGTGTTCTCATTAAAATGAGATCTGAAGTAAAGAAGGAGGAAAAAAATTACAACAAAGCTGGGACAAATGAGGTCTATGTCATCGGAGTTCTCCAGCTGGACTGACCACCCAGCCAGAGCAGTCACCAGCTTGAATATACTGCTGGGGCTGCCGACACTACAGAAACCATGCGCCCTCTACGTTTGATTGTCTCCCTGTGGTTAGGGCCACTGTGAATTACCCAGAATGTCTTTATAAAGCCTGGATCAGCTTTCCCCTGAGTAGACACAGAGATATTTCTGAGCTCTCTCTACCCCCTCCCTGCTAATGGCCTTCTGCAAAGCTGCTTTGAGCTTAGGGGAAACAAAATCATTTCAGCATTTGCTATAAAGTATAATTAGGAAGTCAAATTTGCTACTGCAAAAAATACTTCAATTAATTTTTTTTTAAACAAGCACAAGTGCTGTTTAGATTGTCCACTGGTGTGGCTTATCCACGCCACTGCTCTCTTGAGGTTTCCTCCTAATATAGGTAATGAGACCTGGTGCCCAGTGACAGAATTGAATACAATGGTGAAAACCATGTACAAAACAGCTCTTGTCCTTCATTCCCAGACCAGAGTAATCTCTGTATTTTAGTACATGGCAGGATACATCTAGGATGGACACACCATCAGAAACAAAATCTACACATGTAAAGCAAGACTGTCTCGTCTAGGGGATTAGCTGCTGGAAGTTACTGACACATTAATGTGTCTATAAGTTAGTGTGCAGCCTCTTCTTGGCACTTATCCTTCATGGCAGAAGGATGCCATGGGCAGTTCTGGTACAATCTGTCCCTTAAAAATCATACCAGCTAGTATGCAAGAGGGTAAATGACTAGAAAAGAAGAACAAGGTATAAATATTATGACCATTCCAACACTGACAAAATTGCTCTAACTGTAACCATGCCATGACTAAAGGGTACAGCCTAAAGGCAGGCATAAAGTCAGAGAAGTGTCTGTCCTGTCCACATGGAGCTTCACGATTGCCTGTGGGATATACTCAATTGTCATGCCAGGCCAGCCTGGCCTCTGCGGGGCTCTTACCTGTTTCCTCACAGTTGAGCTACGCCTGTGGTTGATCCCACCAAGTCAGAGAGGGCCGATCCAGCAACAGGGAGGACAAAAGAGAAAATTGGGACAGAATGAGACAAGTCATTGCTTGTGTGAGTGTGTGTGTGTGTGTGTACACATATGTGCACATGTGCAAGCGCACATATGTATTGCCTTAGCTTCTGAATAGCTGGAGTTATAGGTATGTGCCATCATGCCCACTTCAAATGAGGGCTCTTTTTTTTTTTTAATTTTTATTGTTGGTTGTTCAAAACATTACATAGTTCTTGATATATCATATTTCACACTTTGATTCAAGTGGGTTATGAACTCCCATTTTTACCCCGTATACAGATTGCAGAATCACATCAGTTACACATCCATTGATTTACATATTGCCATACTAGTGTCTGTTGTATTCTGCTGCAATCATGAAAAACAGTCTTTATGGTAGTTAATGAATCAAGTCACAATATTCAGCTCAGTCCCAGAAAAGGCTAAGAGACTTGTTAAGTTACTTCCCATCTAAAGTCAAATATAGTTTTTCTCTTTATAAAAGCACAGAGGTGCTTAATTTTAATGTCTACCAACATTCAAAATTTGAATAAGAAGGAACTGGTCCAACTTTGCAGATCTGGGTTAGATAATAAGAAGATCTTCCTGTTGCAAGGAGATGCTGGAAAATACCAAAGGCTGCTGCCTATCATTTGCTTTCTCTTGGAAATCCTCAGGGAAAAGATAGGAAGCATTTTTTTTTTTTCTAGATTTAGAGAGTAGGGCACCTACAATGGAAGGAAGTATGGGGATCTTCTGTCTATATTTTTCAAGTTGTGTTGAGCCTCAGAGAACTTTTCTCAAAGGGAATTTGACTCAGAGGCACCTGAGTCAAACAGGCACGGCAGCGCTACCCTGCTTTGAATGAAGGTGGGGGCCAGGGCCTGACCACTGGGCCTTGTTCTGCCTCTGCTGCCAGGTCACTCCTGGAGAACCTCTTTGAAATTCTCCAGGCTCGTGAAGCTCATGTAAAACACTGTTTTTCTGAGGGGGGAAAAGAGTGGCCAAGGTCAGACACAGTGAAATAATCCAGCAACAGGGAAATAGACTCAGTTCTTTTCATTTTTTCAGAAACTTCTGCGGACATAGGCTCAGGTGAACTTATACTATATCACCAAAAGATATATTCCACAGAATTCCATTATCCTGGTTCCCTGCAGCCCCCAAGTCTATCATATTAATGGGACTTTAGTTATAATCCACAATGACAAAACGATGAAAGCCAAATGAAGCTATCTCTAAATAATGAGCCTATAATTGTAAATGGCTTATGATTATTGTGTGTGTTGGCAGATAGAAGTGGTTGATATAATGGACTAACGCAGGGTCTCTAAGGAGTCTAGTCCATTAGAGTTCTTTCTCCAGTTAAATCAGCACATTTTTAGGCATCAGAGAACTGTCATCTGAATGGATGTCTTGCTTTCTGCCCACTCAAGAGTTTTCTCATAGCAGCACCATGACTGGGAGGGAAAATATGTGGCTGGGGTGGGAGAGGAAGGGGAAGGTAGGGAAAAATCAGGAGGGCTGCATACTTGCACATCAGGCAAGATTTCTACCAGTGCCATTTGGCAAGCCAATACAAAATAATATTTTATTATCCAGCAATGTCACTAATTAGGCTATCATCTTTGCCATGCATGGAAAAAAAAATCTCAGATCAAATGTTACCTCCTGATCTTCTTTCTCTAAGTTAGAGACTCCCCAGAGCCTATATGCTGAAGTCTACCAGCTAAGGATAGGTTAAAGGATAGGATCCTCCAGCATTAAATGTCTATTTTCCTTGCAATATGGTGGCTTTGAGAAGACTTGGACTATTTCAGCAACTGATACTCCTTTACTCAGTTCTGCTCAGTTCTCTTCCTAAGTCATAGCAAACCCCATTGCCATCTGAGACCAGAGAGAGTCACTAAGGCCAAGGGAAGGAACCCACCCTCGCAAGTCATTCAATGTCCTTACAACTCAACCTTAGATCTTTCCCAAGCTAGGACCACTGGACCTTTGGGCCTCTCTTTATCCCTTCCCAGGGCTGTCCCATGCCACACCTACCTGGCCAGACTGCAATCTGTCCGCTGACCTGTGGAAAGACAAAAGCAAAAAGCATATGAAATAAAAGGGGTAGAGAAGGGAGACCAACTAGCAGAAAAGGGAGCCCATAGCCTCGTCTGAGAAAGAACTTTCTCTTGGTTCCCAAGCCACAGTTGCTAGTATCCCTGGACCTTAGGTTTGCCAATTCTTCTTCCCAAAGGGAAAACAGGCATGGATATAGGACAATGAGAATGAGATAGATCATACTTTAGAGAACAATCTGTTAGAAATTTAGCTTTTTATGCTTATGCTGGGTGTCTATGGTGGGAAGTTGTGGAGTGGAGTAGAACATGTTTTCTTGCTCCCATGTCTGTAAATGTACATACACTCATATACACAGCTGGGGTTGGAATGGAAGAAGGAAAAGGAGTTGTCTGGGGAGAGAAGGGAGATGTGCATGTTCTGGTTTTAGATTCATACTAAATTCTGTTAGGTTAGACTGGGGTAGTGAGGCAGACTCTGCTAGGAAATCATAGTTCTCAATCCAGAGGCAGTCCCTAATAAATGAATGGGTCATAGTCAGCTTTAAAAGCTGAAATGGAAACTCAGCATGGTGGCTCACACCTGTAATCCGGCCACATGGGAGGCTGAGGCAGGAGGATCTCAAGTTTGAGGCCAGCCTCAGCAAATTAATGAGGCACTTAGCTACTTAGTGAGACCCTGTCTCAAAACTAAAAAATAAAATAAAGTAAAATGGGCTGGAGATGTGGCTCAGTGGTACAACATTTCTGGGTCTAATTCCCCATACCAAAACAAAACAAGACAAAAAAAAAAAAAAACAAAAAAAAACCTGAAATTCAAACCTTAAATTCATAAGAAGTATTTGTATTTTTATTTTTTTTGTTTGTTTGGTTTTGGTTTTTGTGGTGCTAGGGATCAAAGCCAGGGCTTCATGCTAGGTGAGCACCCTAACACAGAGCTGCATCCTCAGCCCCATAGACATGTCTTTAAAATTTAAAAATACATCTACATGTATACATGGGTCATAATGTAATATGTGGTGCTTTCTTTGGGCCCATAGTTAATGAAGCTTGATCTGTACTAGACCCAAATTAGATAAACGAAGAGCAAACCTCAGCAGGCACTGAGCCAGTGAAGCAGAGATCAGCTCCTACATTCCCCATTCAAGCTCCGGAAAAGGCAACTCCAAGGGCTGGGGGAGGGCAGCGCTGTTCCTTGTCTTTAAAGCTTGCTAATTGTTGATTACAGTGCAGCTCATCTTGAGCAACACCATCCCCCACCCCTAACAGCCTCTTCTTACCAAAGGCTCAGCTTTCATCTGCAAAAATATTATTCTGAGCCATTATTTTCAACATCTGTCCCATTTCCATTCTGGAATATTCATACACATCAATTATCCCTCTGTGGCAAGAACAAGGGGCTCTTGCATTATGGTGACAAATACATACAGAAGGCAGGGACATGATGGCTTGCACACAGGAAGATTTACAGCTATTTTTTTTTCTTTATTGCTACAACTTGTCATCTTTAGATTAAGGCAATTTGCAACACTAATGAATGGTCAACTTTCATCCCTCCAGAGTTGCACATTTGGTGCATACTTGGGTGTGAGCAAGCAAACACACACACACACACACACACACACACACACACACACACTACACACCAAGATCCTGCTTCTTGTCTTATTTATGAATTATGCTTAGTTTGTCTTGACCGGAAAAAAAAAAATCACAGCTATAACTTGCTTCAAATACTTCTGGGCTTTCTTTTCTTCAGTCTCTGGTGGAGGAGCAATTTGATAACCAAAGAGTAAAGATTTTTCTATAAGCAAAGTTTGACTCTCTTTTTCTTTTTCTTTTTTGCAGTGCTAGGGATTGAACCCATAGCCTTGTGCATGGGAGGCAAGCACTCTACCAACTGAGCTATATCCCCAGCCCAAGTGTGACTCTGAATGCCTGGACCTGTTTAGTCTGAGTCCCTTGGGTGGTGGACAGGAAAGAGACCAGAAGTTACGGAAAAGGCTCTCTTTATAGAAAATGCCTTAAAAATCATAAGAGCAGAGGTATTAGAGAAAAGAGAATTAACCACCTGGGGGAACTCTCCAGAGAAGGAAAAGGATAGGGTGAGAACAGTGGGCAGGAGACTCTGGTGTGAAAGGCAGGGCTCCAATCCCTGGGCCAATGAGCCAATGAGCCTCACATGCTTCCCTGGGCTCTGCAGTTTGTCTGATGAGAGCTTGAGAATTTATTTGAAAAAAGTCAGAGCTTTGTGTAAGTGCAGGTCAGGTCACTCAGGTTACCACAGAGTCCCTGTGGCATCTCTCTTCCTCTCCCTCCCATCTTTAAGTGAGGAGATTAGTGGGGCAGGGCACTCAGAGGCATCCCCAACCTGGGAATCCCATTAATCATAGGATGCTGAGAGCTAGGCAGGAGACCTGGGCAGGGTGCCAAATAACCCTGAGGAAGCTTCTCTTTCAACCTTCGCCTTCTGTTTGACGTCCGAGAAGACAAAGTCCAGAGTGCCAGTTCTCTGCCTTGCTACTTTCTAGGGTCTGGTTAAGATCATCATCGGAGATGAGACAACCCTATCAGCACGATGGCCTCAGCATGACCACAGGAGAGAGAGGGGGCTGCCACTTAAACGGCACAGGGACCCCTCCAAGTAGAAGGAAGCAGACATTCACCCTGCAACTTAGAAGGCAGCCAAATGTCTGTCTGTCCATCACTCCTGCACCTGAGGATAATCTCCCTCCTCAGCAGGGCATCTCATCTCACAGCTCCCACCCTTGCCCTTCCTGTACCAGCCTCAGTCTTGCCACAAGGAGCTGGGAGTTTTAACAAAGTGTCTGCAGAGGAAATAACTCTGCAGCCCCATTACCCGGGTTGTGGCAGAGGAGGCAAGGGAGGGGGCCTGGGTGGAGAGCAGGCACGCTCCATTTAAACAAATAGATGATGCACATTAGTGCTTCATTAAGCATTGCCCTTTTCCCATTACTCAAGCAGTCATCTGGGGCGTGTGCTTCCACATTAAAGGGGCTAGGAAAAGAAACGCGTTCATATAACCAGATTGGGTCCACTTGGCTGAGGACAGAGGCGCGTGCTCAGCAAGAGAGCTCAGTGGGACCCGGCCCAGCTGCCAGCCTCCCACGGAGCATTCCCACACTCACTTTCTCCCAGGGTTTTCTGCAGAAGGTCGTGCTTGGCTTGTAACTTGGTGATGAGGTTCCTGCCCTCCAGGTACTCCTTCATTTTCTGTAGGGGAGGAGCAGAAAGAATAGTCAGACGCCTAAGGAAAAAAAAGTATCACGGATTCTTGGATGGACAATTCCCTTTTTTTGACAGGTCTTTTGGTTTCTGACCCAATTTCTATCAGGTCCATGTTTAAAAAATTTCTTTGAGGCCCAGAGTGTATGGCAGCTGCTGATTTTCACGGTGGATTAGTGCCCTGCTCTATGTTTCCATTGGAATTCGACGTTGGCCAGTACAAACAAACAAATGGTCTCCTAAAGCCCCTCATCTATCTCCTTCAGCCACACTGAAGAACAAGGACTGTAGGAAGTGTGAACAGACTCCCAGAGCCCCAGTTTTCTTGGTGTGAAGACACACACCTGCTCTTTGGCATCTCTACTGACATCTCTCCTGCCCTGCCTCTCCCAGGGTGTGTACTGTCACACCTGCACCTGGAGCAATAGCCCCCAGTCTCTGCCTCAGCTGCAAGTCCAGCATGCAGAGCATCTTCATTTGAGCCATATCCTAATCCTAATTGACCTCCTTCACTATTCTGCACAGAATCTTTATGGAAAGTGGCTGTCCCCCACTTGCGCATGCATGTACACACACACACACACACACACACACATCCAAACCTAAGAGTTGGTTCTGGAAATGCAATGCCACCTGCTCTAACAGCCGGGATAGGATGCTGTGCTGCATTTTCAATTACAATCTCTCATGAAAGCTTGTCTGCCCATGGAGAGACTGTAGTTCACTGAAAAATTTATAAAATCTTCAAAACAACCCTATGAATGACTATTATCATTATCCCCATTTTACTGAGGAGAGTACTGAGGTCTGGAGAGATCAAGTTGTTCAAGGTCAAACAGTGAGCAATGGAATTAGAAGGTTAACACAAGGGGCTGAGGATGCAGCTCAGTGGTACAGTGCTTGCCTATCATGCATGAGGCTCTGGGTTCCACCCCCAATACCACAAAAATTAATACCTGATTAAATAAATAAAAAGGAAAATCCCCTAAACTACCCAATACATGCAGTTTCAGAATGATATCTGCTCTTAAGCATTATAATAAAATGCCCCATCACAATATAGAGCAGGAGAGAAGCAGAATTAAACATTGCATTCTTTTTATATATGAGGCAACTTAGATTTTTTTCCCCCCTTGGGTACTGGGGATTGAACCCAGGGATACTGTAACACTGAGCTGCTGCCTTGGCCATTTTCATTTTTATTATGAGACAGGATCTTACTAAGTTGCTAAGGCTGGCCTTGAACTTGTGAATCTCCTGCCTCAGCCTCCTGAGTTCCTGAGATTACAGGTGTGCGCCACCATACCTGGCAATTTAGGAGATTTTGGAACACTATAGCACATAGTCTTTCATTTGATTCCCACAATAACTTCATACAGCACATACGGAAGATACTATTTCTTTATTAGAGTTGAGAAGATAATAGCAAAGAAGGAGCATATCAAATAAATTGCTCATCACTGCAAGAGAGTAAGTAGAAGCGCCAGGTGTGGGGGGGCCTAGTTGGGACTCTTAACCTGGCTTCTTTTCCACTCTCCCCCACAGTCAGGTCATTCTTGTGGATCTTAGTTTGCCTTGGTTCTCTCCTGCTGCACGGGTTCACCTGTCAGATCAGGGGTCATCTGCCCATGTTTAATTTAGTAATCCAATGGCAGGGTTTCTCAGAGCGTGATCTGAGAACTACTGGAAAGTGGACAAAACATTTTAAACTATAATAGTTCTGCCTGTCTTTTAATGTGTACTAAATAAAACCCGAATTATACATCAAGGCTTTGATTTCAGGGCAATTATCACTTAGGATCAAGACTGAAAAAGAAAAGGTAAAACAAATGTGAATTACTTTCAGTCTCTATTTTTGTGTATAGTGTGAACTTTTAACTAAGAGCTTGTAGCTGGGTGTCGTGACACACACTTGTAATCCCAGTGACTCAGGAGGCTGAGGCGAGAGGATCACAAGTTCAAAGCTAGCCTCAGCATCTTAGAGAGATCCCTAGGTAACTTATCAAGACCCTGGTCTCAAAATAAAAATAAAAAGGGCTGGGATGTAGCTCAGTGGTTAAGCGCCTCTGGGTTCAATCCCTGGTACCAAGCAAACAAGCAAATAAAAAACAAAATTAAGAGCTTGTATCTCCCTCTCTCTCATTTAAGAACAATGAAAACCCCTGTTTTCTTGGGGATCAGTCCTGGCCCCACCACACTTGCCCACATGGCCCTAATCTCTACTATAGCCCTTCTTGTACAGCTCTGTCACAGATGGTTTATTACTTGTGTTTCTCTCCAGACTGTCTCTTCCCTATGGTCAGGAATCATTGCCTTCATTATTCTTCCCATCCCATACCTAGCAAGAGAGTAGGTATGTCTGTCCATCACTGGCAGAACTGGCAGAACAAAGGATCATATATCCACCTATTGGAATTCTATCCAACTATTGAAAAGGAAGCAGATCTTTTTGGTTTTGCACTAACATGAAAATGCATGAAGAATGAGTAATAGATAAGCAATCTCACTCTCCTCTGTATAGAACTGCTTTTAGCAGTTACCAAGCCCTTAAGTGTGTCCCTACTCTAAATTAAATATAAAACAAACCACATACTGAATCATTTCTGCCACCTTCACCAGGACCTGTTCCCCTGGCTCCTTTATGCCTTTGCACGAGAACATCTGCATGAAAATAGGCTCTCATGTCACCTTCCCCTTTCCATCTGCTCCAGCTGCCAGCTCACCTGCTGCCAGTCTTCCCCGGGGTGATATCCTAATCCCCAACTAAAGCCTAATTGTGGGCTAGGAATAGTACTTTGGGGCCTAGAGGTGAGAAGCCTTCAGGAAACATCCATTGCTAATAACACAAACCTCAAAGGCATCTCTTTGGAAGGTTCTCCCAGGAGACACAAGGGCTTCCTAATGAGGAAAATTCACCAAGAAACTATAACCCTCAAAACAAGACCAGACTGCTCAGAATACTGCAAACATACAGAAAGGGGGTGGGTGCAAATTCCTCCCTCTCACTCAAGCTCCTACTTGTGATTCTGAAAATCATTTTTTTCATTCATGTTCACTTACTAGTTAACTCTGGCTGTCACTCAGTGAACCATTAAAATAAATAATAATCTGATAAAGGAGGTATGATGGATTACCTTTTCGGGTTCCATTAAATCCTAACGGATCAAAACTGTGTCAAGGTATGACCTGAATCCCTAATGGTGTGGAAACAATGGTTGGGGTTTTCTGCAGAGGTAAGCTGGGTGTAAAGAGTTAAAGGCATCCTAGGGTTTGCAGATGTGTTATTTATCACTTTCATATAAACCTGGAAGTCAGCACTCATCTGCAGGACAGATAAGCTGGGAACAAATAACATTGCCTTCTTCTGTTGCTGCTGGACAGACACGCAGAGAAAGAAGCTGAGACAGCCGAAGACAAGGGAGGAATAGGTGGATTTTTGATAAATTCTGGGGATTAGGGGACCAGGAAAACAGCTGTATATATGTGGTTTCTAAAATGTCTTCCTTGCCAGGCACTGTGGTGCATGCCTGTAATCCCAGTGACTTGGGAGGCTGAGGCAGGAGGGCTGTGAGTTCAAATCCAGCCTCAGCAACTCAGCAAGGCCCTAAGCAACTCAGTGAGCCCCTGTCTCTAAAAAGAAAAGTAAAAGGGGCTGGGGATGTGGCTCAGTGGTTAAGCACCCCTAGGTTCAATCCCCAGTACCCCCCTGCCAAAAAGAAAAAAAAAAAATCTCTTCCACGGGCAATAGTCACATCCCTTATTTAAAACATGTCTTAATATTAAATAACTTATTTTCTTTTATTCCACTTCTTTCACCCTGCTTCTCTCACCAAACACCCAAAAGTAAAGCAATTACCTGAGGTTTTCACTTTACCTGGGGATTTTATTTTACCAAAATAAATCAAATTCCTAAAACAGTCGGACTAATGCTCCCTACTCCATTTTTTTTTTTCATTTGATAATATCAAAACAAAATTTCTACAAAAAGTAGGAAAGGAGATAAAAAGTCTATTAAGGTGTTTTGTTGTTTTTTTTCTTTAACACTGTGAAACTTAATTCCATTTTCATATAACTGATTGATTGATTGATTGCCATACTGGGGACTGAACCCAGGGGGACTCTACAGCTGAGTTACAGCTGCCCATCTTTTTGTTTTGAGAAAGTCCTTGCTAAGTTGTCCAGGCTGGCCTCAGACTTGGGTTCCCCCTACTTCAGCCTCCCGAGTTGCTGGAATTACAGGTGTGCACCACTGTGCCTGGTTTAAATTTCATTTTTACGATCTCATTATTTCTTAATAATTCCTAATTGGTATTGAGAGCATTGAGGTTGATTTATTAAAAGGTATTAATACAGTCATTTTTCTTTCTGAGCCCTTCTTCCCTGACAGACATTTTTTCCACAGTAAAATGGAATATTCTAGGCCTACCATTTGCCCTTCTAACTTTGAGCAAATCACTTAACCCATTTGAGTCTTAGTTTTTCCAGTGGAGAAATAAGAATACTTTCTTTTTCACTAGGTTGCTAAGGATGAGGGAGGACAAGCATGACTGTGATTGGCACAGGGGTTGGTACATGGCAGGTGCTCAGAAAGCATTTCTTATTCCTGAATCACCTGCTTGAGCAACCTAAAAGCATTCCTTCCCTAAACTGCTTTATGCTAATATATAAGAATACTATGTCAAAATAGGCATGTTTAGGCATTTTTTTTAATAGTAAGGGGCACAAGAATACTTTTCAAATTTCATTTTTAAAAGTCCTTTCTTGAAATACACTCTTACCATGGGAGTATGAATTGTAGGACTTTGCTTTCACACTGAACTTGGTCTGTGTAAACCCATGGCTGGCTCTAAGTATCTACTGCAGCAAGGGGGTGGAGTGGGAGGAGGAGTGGCTGAGCCTAGAGATACACAGATGTCATTACTGTGGCTGTTTCCCCACCATCCAGGCACACTGACATTTCCCCTCCTCCCCGTCAATTTTTAAAGCAG